TACAGGGTCAATTTCCGTAGTAACTACTTAGTAAAAATATTCTCACAATACCAAACACACATCCATTTTTGTCCTTTATCTTGGATTTAACCCACTGCAGATAATCACAACTCAAGTATAACTCCTATTCTCATGTCAACAGCCGACAAACCATCCTGACATTATCTTTCGTCTACGCCGTAACTGGCGCTATCATATTAAGCTGTCCTTAGTCCTGGACCCTTTCAACATTCCTCCCTTATCAGGATTTGGGATGACATTGGATACTCTTTGATGAACCGGTTTTGACTGTTATTCTTTTGGATTTATCCCAGTTTTAAGGAACTTTACGGTTAAGCAAGTAGGCTTTTATAAAGCACTTTTACACGTCCCAGTATTAACCCTACCACTGCTTCAGGACAATAAATGGGCACAACACTTTTCTTGAATTCCTTTTTGTTTAAAAAAAGAATTTGTACAAATTAGTATTTTTTTCTCGTTAACTCCTTAGGTAAGTGTAAGTAAGTAATAAATTGGAAAAAAATATTTTTCAGTTATTAAAAAATATATTACATAAAAGTAACAAGTAATAAAAAATACTAATATTTTAAAGAAAATACAATCACCTGGATTTTACAAAGAATTGGGGAAAATACCGACTCTACTGAAAGCAATTTAAAATAAAGCCGCTTAAACATAATCTTAACACACATTCTCATCAGTTTTAAAATGTTTTTTTTTTTAATTTCGTGGTTTTAAGTTAAATCAGTTTGACTTTGAACATAACTACTTCTAACCTTTTCTTGTGTTCTTGTTGACTTTGTTATACTTAATAAAGTTAACATAATAAAGTTTTTATAGTATTCAAGCACACGCGTGTCACGTGTATAGCGTCAATAATGAGTATCAATGTTAATTAAAAAGTAAAAACATGATCACTTCCAATAATGAAAACTCATGTTTATCATAAAACATGAACTTTTAATTAAAACTAAAAAAATGTTCACACGTTGACTCAAAGGTCACCTTTGTGATTCTACACTATTTAATTTTACCGTAATAAACAAAAAAAACTACATCCCATCTGACTCAACAGTTCGGTTACATCACTAACAAACCAATTGACAGCAATAAAACAACAAAGCAGTTGCATTTCCCGTTAAAAATAACGTTATTTGTGACAAAAAGTTTGCGTAATAACGGGTTGCAGTCAGGTAACGTTAACGTTACCCCAATCACCGGTGTCTGTGATGCTAATGGGTAAAAACTTTTTGTTTGGACGCCTGTCAATATAATCGTAACTTAATGGCTTTTGTTTGATGTTGCCGGCCGGTTTCGTGAGATTGATTAAACAATAACTTTTTATGCAAACTTATTTGTTTTAGTTTTGGTGATTGAGATTTTGTTTGAAAATTGAGTGAATTAGCTTCAACTAAACTCAAATATTTACTAGAAGATTCAAAGATTTTTTCAAAGCTTCAAATTGACTAATTTTACTGATTCAAATATTCTTGAGATATTTCTTGCAGAGAATGCCTAATGGCATTAAGTTCTCCATATGCAACGATTTATAAGGAATAGGCTAGTTTCCTAAAAAAAATTTTTAGTCCGTCAATTTTAATATAAAAAATATTGGACACGTCGTATATTTTTTATTGTCAATAAAACAAATAATTACAAAATTATAGTGCGTTGAAGTTCCGCGCGACGTCACAAAGTGCTGCACTTTTACGCACTCACTGACGTCACGGGCCTTTTCTTTAGAACTTTGGCACGCTTTTTCTCTTTACATTTTCATTATTTTTAAAAAGTGAAAAATACGTGTCTAGTAGTTTTTGATTAGCTAACTGACGGACTAATTAAAACTCTTGCTTTTTTACCCAGGAAACATCCCTATTAGGGAGTAAATAAATAAAGAATTTAAACGAGTAGATATTTAACAATATAAGCTAGATTTAAACTAAAATACCAATAAAAATTATTGAAGGTTGGGTCAAAAAAATTGATTGCTTTTAATGCTTTTCTTTCAAATACACTCGNTTGATAGTTATTTTGAAAATATATTTCATGTACAGAATTGACCTCTCTACAGATTTATTATAAGTATAGATGTCAATCTTACCCCCCTCCTGTATCGCTCCCATACCTCAAACACTGACTGAGTTAAGCGAGACCTATAGTAAAAAGGCCGTTCTAAATATTTTCGCGAGTAATTAAGTAGCAGACTATTTTTAGCGGTACTATTAAAATAGATCTTCGGTGGCAACAATTGCCACTCGCCAAATAGCTAATGGTACCTAAAGAAAAATTTTAGTGCTTAATAATGACTAGTCATTCGGGAGAATCATTCAAAAATTAAATGAATACGACTGGAAATCGAAAATCTTCGGGTGAAATTGTGATCAAGATCATGCCAGAAATATACCTTGAGGTATCCCCATTGTAATCAAAAACAAACTTTAGCAATAACTAAAATAGCTCATAAATCCTAATGACATAATGATAGCCCAATTAATAATAGCTACGCTATTAATAATAATCATAACTACACCTAAACATTAAGTGCATAGCGTAAATAAACAAAGAGATTCAACACGTGTCAAACTGCGTTACAGTAGACGTACTTAAACTTTACTACGCACATTTTATAATACCAACGTATAAAATAAAATATATTTGACTCTACATTATCGGAATTATACCTCATTTGTTTCTGTTGGAGGTTAAACACCTTAACATAACTTTGTCTCGGTGATTTGTAGAGGTTTTATTGCTAACATAAAATAAACATCCGCAACGGCACGTGAATTGCTCCTCCATTGAAAGACATTCTTTAGTAAGACGTAATTGTCTGCATCCCTATTGAGTTCCAGTGCGAAGTCCTACACAGACAGCATAAAAACCTCTAGAAATTAGTAAATGTAAGTGTCTCGTATTGTAAAAAGTTATAACAAAGTAGATAGTGTCCTGAAATGGCCAATTGTAAAAGTTAGACAATAAATGCTGCACTCGACTAGGTATGGGACACAATAGCACCTTTTTACTCGTAATAAACCTAAAAATAAATAAAAGCGTCTTCAATTTTCATGAGAAATATTTATAAATTGTAATGATATTTTGAAGACTCTCCAGAGAATCAAAACATTTTATACTCTGATCTTTTATCAGTTTTATAAGGGCCATAATACCTACTATTTTTCTTAGTTGAAAACTAAATACATAAGTATATTTTGTCACTGACTGTACAATCGGCAGCAAAAAAGCCAGTAGGTGTGTTCAATCAACGTTCATCAAATACTAATGAAAACGGCCACGCGAGTTGACATTTAATCTTGTGGTCGTTGAGGCAATTATTTATTTATTAATAGTATTATAGCAACAAAAGTCTAAGATTTATTGTTTGCATTCATTGTGAAATTGTTTTTCTACTTTTTCCTAAGTTACACGTGTTTTTTCCTACTGAAAATATTAATATGATGGGGATTTTAAATAAAAGTAGTGCTCAAATCAATGATTTTGTGGTAGAGTTTTAGGGTAGAGTTAATACCCAATTTCCAAAAGAAAATTCCTGCTCTACATTAGTTGTCAGTAGTCTTTAATTTTATTTATTATCTAGTCGAGCTCGGTCTGCAAAGAGATTCGATCTTAAAAATACAGTACAGTAGAGTAGAAAACATTGAAAACGGTAATGTCAATTCGCAGCTCTAACTCTACCTGTATCTTTACCTCAGTATTTTTATTTAGTAATTTACAATATGACTTAGCTAAATTACATTGAAAACGTGACACTAATGATCAACAATCATAAATTATTGCATGTGTAGCGTAAGAGAGACAATTTAAGGATATTATGTTGCAGGAAAACACATAGAATTTTCCGTGGAAAACCGTTCCACTTTTATTCATTGTAGTGCAAAAATTATAAGAATGTATGATTGACGTTTGCGGTCTTTTTATTACAAAAACGACAAAATTATCTTATTTACATATTCTTTAGTGTATTTATGTACGAGCTGGTGTTTTTGCAAAACAAAAGAACTAACAACTAACTCTACTATTTTTAAAAGTTCATAAAAATTCATTCACCGGCTCATGGCGTAGTTAAAACATATTTTTTAAACAAATAAATGTATTAAAGTTATTAATAAATAGTTTCTACAAATAAAGGTTTAGATCAGGTCGATCAGTATGTCATAAAACGCGGTTTTCTGGGTTATAGAAAAAGGTTAGTGAACCGTGCAAAAAATTCCATCCTAGACACACAGTTAACTGTACATTATGACCTCAATTACCTTTTCCAATAACATGATACCCTAGCAACAAAAAAATCAAGCAGGTGTTCCTACTTACATTGTGATGCATGCCGTTAAGACATAAAAGTATCAAACATCGTTCGGTGACAATACGAGTACCTAATGTAATGATATACAAAACCAAAAACTTTTATAGTTAGTGTTAAGTTTTTTGGAATATTACACCTAAGTATTAAAATGCTATTATTATACAGGGTGACTTTGCAATCAGTATCCCTCAGAACTTAATCGATTTACGTAAAGAAAGAAAATTATCCTGTATAGAGAAAAAAATATCCTTCATACCTATTATGAACAGTAAGGTACAGTCATTTGTAGTGACGTGAGGACTCTATCAAGCAGCAATTTACTGTAACCTGCTGTAAATATTTTAGAATAAGTAAAAAACATACTTTAAAAATAATGAATCACTTGGGTACTTACATTTGACTTTGAATACTAACGCTAGACTTACAGGAAAGATCCTTTGAAAACCGAGGTCATATCTTTTCCAACCGTTGAATTAAAACATTATTTACTCTTGAATTTAAATATGTGGCAAAAATAAATTCTACCGGTACTTACAAAACAAGACTCCATAAATACCAACATTGTCAGCATAATAATTTCGGTGTTCCAATTAATTTAATACCAGCATACGATCAAATTGCGTCAGTAAGGTAAAAGCGAGAATATTTCCAAGAAAGTTTATGAAAAAAATTTACTCACGTTCACTGGAGGTTTCATGGTGAAAAATTGTCTGACGTATCTTATCATGCAGGTTTTTCTTGGTGGTTGTATGGTTTGTTTTGGTGGCCGCGTGTTTCGTCTCGCGAGGTGTAGAGTGGGCCGCGACACGTCGAACTTTGGTGGCGGTCCGGCGAGCACTACCGCAGTATTTGTTTGTCGGCGACATTGACTTAGCTCTGCGTGCCAAAGAGCGTTTTCCTGCTACGAACACAGATTTTCGACGGTTGGACCGCGAAGCACTGTGTCTGATTTGAGGGTTTTTTCTTACGAAGCTATGCTGTCTTTACTTTCTCGGCTAAGTTTGTTGGACAAGTTGGTACCACCTACCCTTGTAGAGTTAAGTAAATGTCTGCTCTACATTCAATAGGGAAAAACTAGGAGTAACAGGACTAGAATAATTTTTGACAAGACAAACAAAATTAGTTAGATGATTTTTGGACTTATAAAATATAATTTAATAACTAGGTCAAGTACTTAATAGGTTTAAGTCATAATAGGCTACCAAATGCCTTCACATAACTTTTAGCCACCCGCATGCTTCTACAGATATCACAGTGTCTGATAGTTGGAAAGCGCGCACACACAGCGCACGTGTTCATTCTCAATCCAGTTTAGTGTGCGAGGGACGTACACGCACGCGCGTGGTTGCTCCGTGACGTAACCTTGCCGCGTCTGCGGCGACTAATAACTTGACGTACGCTCGTGACGAGTCTCTCAGATAACAAATAATCGGCCAAAAGGACCCGATTTCAATCACTTCCCGATTCCTGAATAATTTTTTGACAGCAAATCCTTAATCTACGGCCCATTTTGGCCTACAGGCTCGAAGATTGTAAAGTTTTATTGCGCGGTCTTCAAAATATGCGATTTTTTTTAATTTTGTGCGAAATATTTGGAGTATTTTTTATTAAAAAATTCAGAATATTATTTTTAATGTTCCTGTGTACCATATTACCCCATTTTGTATACAAGTTTCAGTTAGAAAATGTAATTAAGAGACTAAACAAAACTCTACTATATTTTGACTAAGTATGTGGGTAACTTAACATGTGACGGTAGTCGTGCAAGATCAGTACCTAAGTTCAAAGTTAATTCAGCAGTAAGCTCTAAATTATTATAAAAGTTAATTTCCCAAAAGCCGTTATCTACTCGTACCTACATTAGTACTTTAATTATTTACATTTGAAACTAATCAATGACACAAAATAGGTCTTTGAAAATTTAATTATGTAGGTGCGATTATAGTAATTTCATTTAGCCAGTTAATTGTTTAACAGCTGCGCTTAGGGGTGAATTTGCAAGTCATATTATGTATTATTATTTATCTATTATTTACCTACAAGATTATCTACATTTATTCTTATCATGGCACAAATACTTATCCAAACAGACAAGTAGGTAATATGTTTTGGTTTAACTTTAATAGAAAATGTATGAAGTCAATTATAGTACAATTTGACTAAGGTATAGTGTCGAGTTTGTGGGATTGTAGTTATGTTTGGCTCTACATGAGATCTGATATCTTCTTTACAGTGTAAGATCACACGGTCTCGTCTTGAAACATTTAGAATGAAAATGTTTTTGGTGTAATATTACTTTTAGCTATGTTCCTGGTCTGCTCTGGACTTCTTTTGGTAGTTTCAAATTCGCTTACGAATCTGCACAAATTTTACTGAAATTAGTTTTTGTGTGTGAGAAGAGCCGCATAACGTGAGAAGGTTCCTGTAGTAGGAACACCCCGATGGGTCACTATAACCACAAGTTTATTGCCCTAAAAGGAAATAATAAATAAAAATCACCAAATAGATTTAAACAAACGAATTTATTCTTTACAATCAAATATCAGTTTTTCACACTACTGTTCAATAGCCGTAGGTATTAAATACCGACGAAAATATACATTATAATTGAAATAAATAACAAAACAACCTTAAATTAATATGTAATAAACATTGTTGCATTGCGTTTGCAATAATACTTTATTTATAGTTAAGTACCCACGTTGCATTGGTAAATACTAACAATATTGTATATTGTACTAACATAGCAATGTGACTCGGACAGTAGTGTCAAATACCAGGTTTAGATACAATATCCTGTGGTTGTGACGTCATAAAGCTGTTCAGTGTCATATTTTAACACAGTTTTTTATACTTAATAAATTATTAGGAGTTAATAAATAAAGTAGATAGAAAATAGTAACCTCTTTAGCAAAATAAAGTCTGAATAACAATATTTCCCAATAAATAGGATTACCGAGTTTTAGGTGAGCTTATTATTTTATTAAAATTTCTATCAAATTTAAGCCGTTTGTCAAGTGAAAATGACACTTCCACAGTGCAAATGACGTCATACGCCCACAGTTCTACACTATGTTACTCAGAGATTAAGGGTTCACGGGATAGCTGGTACAACCCCTCTGAATAACTACAATAGATCACAATAATATAACCACATTGGGTTCAATTCAATGCACAATTTAGTTATAAATATTAAATATTTTACAATAACACAATCCAGCGATACTACTCTGTCAAAGACAGCATAATTAATGCGAAAATAGTGCTAGTTTTAAATAATATTGACGGAGTAGTATGTAAAATATTTGTCGAATACATATTATAAAAATACTATATTTAAAGGGTTTATAGATACCTTTATCCGTTACAACCACTGGATAGTATTAAAAATAATCTCAATAAATATATTTTTTGTAAACCAATTCAGACCAATTTATGGGGTTGTGATATGAAACTTATATCTATGAAGCTCTGCTGTAATATTGATATTGTGAGTGTTTTATATATAGGAACGACTTCAAACAATCATTTACGACATAATAGGGCAACAATCCCTAGTTATTTTAAGATTTACAAACATGTTCTGCTTAAGAGGCATAGCAGAAACATCTTTACATAAAAGTTAGTTTGAACACCGTTTTTATGTAGTAAATGCTTTGTCACTTTTCGTCAGTTGTAGTGAGGGCCATCGTTTCAGCGTTCAACAGTTGGCGCCAGTGTAAAATAAGGTCACTGTCACTTACTAGTGGCGAAGACAGTAGCGCCAACTGTTGATCACTGAACCGGTAAGAGGACTATTGCATTTGCACTCACCAGGATGGTGGTATCAACTGTTAGTACATTGGTTCCCAAACTTATTTGAGACGCGCCCCATTTCGACCATACAAAAAATTCCGTGCCCCCCTCCTCGAGTATCGAGCAGTCTGGAATGCATTCTCTCAGCGGTCGCAGGTTTTTTATACTTAAATACACAGAGGGCCCGCACCCCCCTTTAAAGGCCTTTGCACCTCCCCTGGGGGGCGCGCTCCCCACTTTGGGAACCAATGTTTAGTATAAAATAGCCCTTATTGCATTAGATGAAAAGAGACAAAGCAGTTTCTTAGTAAAACGGTGTTAAGACTATTGTATAACAAGGGAGTTATTTAGGATAGGGTACTCAAATATTATTTATAGGATATGGCGAAGTGGTCCAAGGGAAGGCAAGATCCTAACTGGCAAGGTTTCATTTAATTAGTGTTATGGCATTATCTACATTTCTACCTAGAGTTGTAAGAAACTCGAGTCTTCATTTCGAGACTTGAGCCTATTTTAAGACTAGGACTCGTTAGTCACATGAGTCAGAGTCCTTTGAGTCTTCTGAGCCCTTTCGAGTCTTTTAAGTTCTAGGAATTATTTTTATTTACTTCAAACTACAAGCATGGATTTAGAGGACTCATTCATGAGTTCTTTTAAAGTCTCGTGCCCGTTTTCACCATCCATCCCTATTTTTTAAGTGACACATAACAGGGATTTTGTTTTCAAATGTGTATTTTTTAAAAGACTCAAAATTCTGAAGGACTTGAGCGCTAAGTTTTATTTATACGACTCGAGTCTTCAAAAATAGTTCAAGTTTTGTTAAATAGGACTCCAAGACTCGAGTTTCTTACAACACTACTTCTACTGACGATCTTAACCTGTATCTACGGATTTAATTATTATGTGATAAAATACGGATAATTTAGATTCGTAGGCGGAAATATTCTTCTCTAAGTAGCACAAATGATCACTATTTAGAAGTAAAAATCCGTTTCAAAAGACATAAGCTATAAAACGAGTAAAAGATTGACCACTAAATTACTATAAATTGTAAAAGAACACATTGCATTTGACACCAGGTTGTGACATTAAGTAAATTATTGTATTCACTATAGGTAAAATGTGACCATGTTTTTATTAGGCTACTTTATCCTTACCTACTGACTGCATGGTAAAATTAACATTGTTATAAATACTGGAAGATTTAGGGCTAATTTTTCAATCGTCAGATATCTTTTAACGGAAGAATAAACTTGTCATTTTGACATATTTCCCATATTAAAACTGTCAATGTGCCAAAATTATTCTTCAGTTAAAAGTTATCCGACGGTTGAAAAATCAGCCCTTAAGAGAATAGCTGCCAGATATTTTATTTACTTTATTTGCCTCCAAAGTTGAGTTGTGCGTTATACTATACAGCTGACCAGTTAATCGACATTAATATATTTAAACATATTTATTTCTGTTTATAAGCCAGCTGTTTCATAATAATGAATAAATATGAATGCCTAGATTCTTTATCTTTGTTAACTACCAAGTAGTACAGTAGCTATACCGCCAGTCTTGTATCAATACAAAAAATTCCTTGGGTAACTTTACTTTATCTTAGGCATCATTTAAAAAATCTGGACAGTCAATTTGAGTCAACAGATATCACAAAATGCCTTTTTATAATGCACAATATTATATTTTATAAAAGAAAATCTATTTTTTATATCTCTCTATAATAAGGCCATTCAATATTGCTTTAATATTAAATGTATCGTAATTTTAATTCAAGAGGATTTTGACAGCTGAAAAATAGACAACACAATTAAAAATAAAATAGAGAAAATGTAGAAATTACGTTTAAGATTATCACCAGTAATTTTTATTATAAATACAACATTTATATGTGTAAACTGCCTATTTTTTTCTACTGATTTAACAAGAATAACCCCTTAAATGTACATAAATAAATTTCAACTTTACATGACTTTACAATATAATTAGAAGATTTAAGTACTTTTTAAGTACATACAATATAACCGCTCTATTGGAGTAATATAGCTACACTAATGACTATGATATGGACGAATGTGTTAACTATCGGATGGGTCCTAATAGCAACCTAGATGAAGTACGTATATATCTCCAAAGACATGTTATTATTAAAAGTAATATTTAACAATAGATGAGGATGAAAATGGAATGTAGAACTGCTATCTAAGAATACCACAGACATTGAACACTGGATTACCTGAAAAAGAACTTCAACGCTTCCCCAACAATATGTACTAATTGTATATTACAAATTTGGAGCTAAGGTCATCAAAAATTTTTAGGGTGACTAAGATTTATGATACTATCAACTGTTCAAAATACCTAAACACTCGACTCTGGAATCGGTCGAGTTGGAAGTCGTGCGAAAACAGACCGAAAGAATTGGCACGAATTGAGTATTTAGTTCTTAGACAAGTCACTCGATTGACATCTGTTCATACCAATTACGGCGGAGGCGGGGAGTCAATGTACTATTTTATTTTTACTCGTTCTCTTTGTGAAGAATTGACGACTTTTTCTTCATATTCTATTAATTTAAGTCTATTTTTGCGACGAAACACGATGTACAGCCGAGAGCACATCAAACAAAACATATTTGTTGCAAAACAACTACGGAAGATGCCAGTGCTAAGCTTGAAGTGCTATCGTATGTACAGTCGCGGAATGAAAAGGTTCGTCACCTTAGTGTCGGTTTTCGCTTGCACTAGGTACTGTAAGAGTCAAACCTGCCAACATACAGTGCAAGAAACAGTGCTGCTAACATTTAAATAAATATGACGTTTGCTAACGAATAAGGTTTTGCTTGTTTATTTTTCTATCCCATCAATGCAATGCAATGATGACATTGACCAATTGACAATAGTTTTTTTTATTTAATAGAAATAATAATGGCAGCTTGAACCAACAAGAAGGTTTTAGTTTATCAATCATAATAATCTTCTTGACAAGATAAATCGTCAAACAACTTTGATCTGAATAATTTTGAACTTTACTGACGAACAGTTAAAGATTATTTTCTCTAACTCGAGATTATCCTGTAACATAGTTTCAAAAGGTAATTAATATGTGCTCGCGATTCGTTGAAGGAATCAATTTGAAAACTGACGAACCTTTTCATTCCGTGACTGTACATAATTATATTTAGTGGATAACTAAGATTGACTCCCAAAAGGATTTAAACGTAAAAGAGTCAGCCATAATGCTATGAACAAACGCAATAAAATAACGGCAAATGCCGTGGCCCCCTCGCTCTGTCAACTATCAGCTGTATCTCAATGGACCTAGCACGCGCGTACGCAACTATTTGAAAAACACCAATTCATTCGATTTCATGTTATTACTTCAGTGAGAGTTAAATAAATTAAAATATCTAATTACATTGCAAGTAATAACAATACTAAGTTATAAGTATTTACTTCACTTTCGAAAGAAACTCGGCTAATGCTGCTTTCCACTATTGAATCGCAGCGGGCGGGAAAATCAATAGAACTGTTTCAATATTTTAAAGTAGCTTTTGTGTATTAAAATCCATGCTTTATTATTGCAGTTAGGAACCTATTTTGCAGGTCAGTTTCCTATCCATCCTTACATTATCAAGTTTTTAGTGTAAAGCTAGATTCGTTTTATAGAGCGTCACGTAGCAACAGGTCGGAATTAATACCATAAATAAAATTATATTTAAGAATGACAGATGACCCTCTAAAATTCGAAGCTAGCTCATCATAATTTGTCTCTGGTTTAGGAACAAATATTTCGAAGTTTATCATATTAGTTATAGGACATAGTAAATCCATACTCAAGATATGGAACTATCCTGTTCTCAAGGGAACCTCGGTAACCCAATATGGCGAAAGGACTTCTCTATAAGAAATGCCAATGGGCCTAAAAAGACATAGTTTGCTACGAGGAGAATAGCTTTTACTTGTAATATACACTGTCAAACAGGGTGTATTTGTAAACAGGACTGTCTTTGGAACTACGTAATCAGACAGAAATTGTTATAAAACAGCATAAATGTAGGAGCAACATCGAAATCTTGTAAAAATAATTAGGCGTGTCAAGAAAATTGGAAATGCAAAAATACAAATATCTTATTATAGTTTTTAGAACAGCTCCCTACACCCTGTATGATTTTTAAACGAAAGTTTGACATCTAAAGATAAGATTTTGGAAGTTGTTTTTGTTTACTACGAGCAAAGTAGACGTGGTACTAATAAAGATTTCACATGATTATTGTTTCAAATAGTTGCGTACGCGTCACCTTTCTAACAAATGCCTAAATTACAAAACAGTCTTTCAAAGGTTGTCTCGACACAAACCACACTCAGGAGTATCCCTAAATACTTAATTTCCCCTAAGTAACAAACATTTTAAAAGACACATTTTTTTAAAACCGCCATTTCTGACGGAGGAAGAGGTGTTTCTTAAGACATTAAATATAAAGTGTATATGAACAATTGCTACTACAAATACAAATCGCCTAGTAATTATTTCAAAGATCAAAGTTACAAAATTGCCTTAACTATTTGAATTTTTATCTTTATGAAGTTTATTATAATATTCACTTGGGAAATATTTGATTGATAGATTTAAGAACTATTTTTGTGTACTATTAACATAGAAATTGTAAAATACTAATGTTTTGTTTATTGCCGTCGCGTGGTCCGAGTACAACAAAATAACGAATGTGTCTAAATAAGGCATTTATCGCAGTCACGTTTACTTTTATTAAAATATCACCCCAAATTCAAATAATACCTAGCAGTGTTCAAGGAATTTATGCAACGAATATATTATTTTGATTAAAATAAATTACACATTAATCACTTATTATTTAAATATTAAATAACTCGCATTTAAGTATTCAATTATGCTATTTTCATTAAAATATATTTGCAACAATCCATCCGGTGAGGCACTTTCGAACAATTGCTTTATATTCGATCGTTTGTGATTGTTTATTTATACTGATCGTATCTAATTAATTATTATGCTTTTCATACCATTGAAATACTGATCAACTTCAATTATACTGATATAATGCTGGAATCACAATAACCTTGACATACAACATAGTTATATACATAAAAATGGAATGTATAAGATACAATAATAGGTAAGGCGAAATCTACAGTAGGAAAATACTTAAATACACTACTACAATAAGACAATAAATTTATATAATTATATAGGATTCAATTCTATAACTATGTAAAATATTAGCAACCATTTAATATTTCCTTACCCCTAGATAAAAACCGTTGAGCTGATCAACACTTATCACACTGTTACTAGCACATTGGCAAGCCCTGACGTTGCTGAGCAAAAATGGCAATTATCCATCGGCAATAATCAACGTAACAATAACTTCCTCGCTTTCGAGGGGCCAATCGGAACTATTAACATACCATCACTTAACCCGCTAAATACAATTCACAGTACAATCAGCACATTGTACGAACCTAACCGGCATAAATATATCTTTTTGGAATGACAATCAGACTTGTACGCGAATCAATCTCTCTTTGTTCGTACGCGCCCCTCTATTTTGTGCACTAGGGGCGCGTCTACCGATACCATAATACCGATGTAAATCTACATTATAATACAGCACCTGTGCGATCTGGTGTCCCCGACTACGTCACTCGTATTCCCGGAGAATCGTGGGACAGTTCCGGAACTCGGGGACAGAGTGAGCGGGTTGAGTTGCACCGGCATGTCCTTCGTCACCTCAGGTATTGAATTGATGCTGTGGTTGTTCGTCGAGTTCAAACTGTTCTCCACCGGACTACCGTTTGTTCTAATTTGAGCGCGCTGCTTCTTCAAATCCGCGAGAGTGCCTGAAATGTTAGCGCGCGCCGATCAGTGTTGCGTAACGATAAATTCTAAGCTTTAAAACAATCATTCGCATTCCTACAAGATAAGCATAACAGTTTCAATGAATATGCGGATGTTTCTCAATCATAAGTAGTGCATCACTTTCACATTTGTTAGTAAACATTATGCTTATCTTCATTAGAGCAACACAAGTGAATTCATGAAAGTATAATAGCGTAAAAGAATATTTCGTCATACGTGTAAAAAATGCCGAAGCCTCAAGATTGTAGTACAGGAAAGTAAACAAAGTGTGTTCACAAATGAGTAGAGAACAGAACAGATAATAGAGACATGCATCAAATGTGAATTGACGACCCAAAATAAAACGATTTCACGTAAGGAACACTAGACCACTACATCGCATGCACTACATAAACTACAACCAGAGACTGCTTGCCTCATATGCATCCTCGAGAGCGGTTCGTTACTGGTAACCAGCACACAGTCCCTCCATTTAATATAAACCATCACTGTGCAAAACTGTTAGAGTAACTTTACATGTAAGTTGTTATAAATTGTGCTATATAGATATGTGCTTTATTTTGTTCGTAAGGATGCATATAATTACCTGCGTTAATCATGACGGTGACATGAACATTGATTTTACCATTATTGTCTGTGGTGTAGGTCGCGGTGCCGCCCTCTGTGATTGCGATTTGGTTGGGGCTCACTATCACCTCTTTCCTACCGTCTAGGGAGTCCTCGGATTTGAAGGCGTCATTGTCTTGGCCTTCTGGGGCTTTTCTGACTCCGTTGGGTAAGCTTTTCTCGTAGTGTTTGGTCTCGTGTTCTGGCGCCGCGTGGGAACCAGGCGCGTAGTGTGAGGCGGCGTTAACCCCGAATAAGGGATTTGATATCTTAGGTGGGTAGGGCAGGTCGTTTCCATCAACGTCGCTGTTCCTTGCGCGTTGATTGTACGAGTGCTTGGGCACGGCATATTCGACGTTGGAGTCGTAACTCTGGTTTGACGTCGTGGAGCTGGTAGATAGACGTTTATGCGTCAAATCATTAGGCTGCATTTGGTTTGCCGTGTTCTGGTCATTTTCCATGCCATTTGATAGGCCCTGTGAAGGAAAAAAGGGAATTATTGTGCGGCTATCTTAGAGCAAGAAGAGATTTCAGCCTCGCATTCTGAACCAACGTTGAAAACTTGATTTAATCTCAAGCATTCATTGATGAATTTCACATTTCCAATTCAATTGATTCATATGAGCGTTGTTACAGAATATTTGACTTAATCCTAAATAGAAGTTAATTATTTAAAAGTGCTGAGTAGGGTTGGAAATGTACATACATATCTATCAACGGAACAAACATACTTTAAAAAAAACTTAATCATAACATTTCCAATGATTTAATCGACATCGACGATCATGAAAGTTATTCATTCATTAGGTATTTAATTTTACTGGAAAAGATGATCTACTGTCAAATTTTTCAAATTTGTGCAAATAAAATTAATCTAACCCTTAATAGTATGTCATCAGCAGATACAACCAAGTATTTACGTTAATTAGATCATAGTTACGTCTATTTGTATAGTTATCAACAGATGACTTACTACAGAGCATTAGCCGGTAGTAGTTCATATCTTATTTAGACAATATTAAAAGGATGAGTAGTGAAATTAAAAGGATGAGTAACTCATCAGTACTTAACAGACAAAATAGTAACAGAACCGAACTGTGTTTTAATCACAATGTTAAGTCAAAATGGCTGATTAGCAAATTGATGCAATAACATATTGATCAACAACCACTGTTCGAAAGTAGTATTGCAATTATTGCATTAAAACAAGGTTTTCATGTGTACCTATTAAAATATTTTTTTGGCTTGGTTTTATTTAGTTACCAATTAATTTTAAGAAATAAATACAATAAAAATACTGTAAAAGCTTAGTATTTGTTGTCTCACCAACTGTCGGCATACTTTTATAAGCTGTCAAAAAGCAATTTTCCACGGAGGTATTGATATTATTTATTGGTAATGAGAATGAATCAGATGAAAATATTTATTACACGTCGGAATTGCAATCTTAGAGAACGATTGTTTTTAAAAACATTTCTTTTGGCCCAATAGCAATCTTAGATCAAACCCATGACAGATGACTCGACTTTCAAATACAATAAAACCGCTGGGTGCTATATTTTCAGTAGGAGATTGACATTAATATTATATTACATTAATAACCAGTATTTAATCACACAGAAATAGATCAGCATTTGAGAACGTGTACTACAGTTTCTTACAAGTCGTGTAGTCAATCTTCTTTTGAACCTAATCACCAACAACGTTCAAGTAGTGATGATAACACACATGTGTAGAAGGGAGCTAAGTGATCAAAGTTTAGTACTTGGTGGAAGCTCACTTTTTAATACCATGGCGGGATTGTGATAGCAAATTCAGACATCTTTGGAATGCAATTTATGATAAGCAAGTTAAAAGCCAATTTCCATTAACACAATTACAGGACTTATTGTGATAACGATTGCTAGGATTATACTAGAAATAACGTAACGAATTGCTATTACTCTAAAATCAACGACAAAAGCCTACATATTTTTGTGTATTTTTAACTTTATCAAGCATCTTCGGTCTTATACATGTTACTGTTACAGATATTCGATCATTTCTAATATGCTGAAGATTTTAACTTATAAAACACTTGCCAATAAGGCTGTAGAACCTCGATAAACACTCTACACGATAAATTATGATATGTCAGTGATTGAGAGAAATATTGACACTCGTGCTTGCTCGCAAACCTAAATTGTCTTTCTCTAACAAACAGTAGGCTTTTCTCCTCAAAACTAGTGCTATAAAATACCTGAGATGAACGAATTTAGATAAATTAATGTAGAAATATTAAGTGAGTACAATAAAACTGTGGAATTTGCGCTCTATGCCGGTCACTTTCAAAAGAGCATTCATATAGCATTTATGTGAGTAAAAATCATAAAACATACCCTGTATCGGAGGCCTAACACTTGCGGCTCTTTGCGTAGACGCCGCAAGTTGTCGTGTGTCAAAAACATAATATCCAAAGACATTGTTTGAGAGGTCATAGCACAGTCCACTTCATCATCACTGAGCCACATGAGAATCCTTTGAAAAAACAATACACTAACACTTTATGAGGCACCATAAAGGAAGAATTGAAGTTCGAGAAGGTATATTTGTATGTCAAAATGCATTATCGAGATGAGAAGAAGTTACCGCGAGTGTGCAGTGCGTCGGCGCGCTGACCACACGGACTGGCGGCGCGTGCGCCGTTTCATGCCACGGCGGAGGCAGGGCTGCCGCGAAGTTTTCAGCGTTGGAAACTTATGAAGGCCGCATTACAAAATTTGCAGTAATTCTCATGTTTGGCCGTATATAACAGCTATTTTTTAATTAATTGCCAAAGTTGCTTGTGTTAAATTGAAGTAATTTCATTTGCAAGTAATATTGATCACGTTTTTCCATTTTACTGCTTTGATAGCGGGTTGTTTGGTTTGCCAACCCTATTAAATAGCAAGGGGAAATCAAATGAAAACTTAGTGAATCTTTGTGTCGTAAATAAACGCGCGGTGCGGAACGAGATGAGTGTTAAACCTGTCTCTGATAAATATAATGTATGGACATTTCGTAGCATAAATCTGCAGGCTTTTCAGTTTATTTGGAAGTAAAAAACGAGAGAAATTATATTTTATTTTTAAAATGCAATGGATCTATACTAAAAAGGTTCGAAATACGTTTGAATGGTAGCGAGTAGAATGTAATTGAATATGTTTAGTCAGACAACTAGACAGGTGCAGCATTTTTATGATTCTTAAATGCCAATATACTGTACTTCGGTTCAATAACTTTAACTGCGGTATCTCGTGACACTTTCGCCAAAGTACAAAAAGATACTTTTTGATTGACAAAATATTCTTCATAAGATCCACGTGGAGTGTCTACGTGCATCGAGAGATCTGTCAAGTGCAAATCAACCGCTCCAATAAACAGAGCAGTGGAGAGGAACAAACGTTACAAACGTAAGCACGCTAACAATTGCCACGATTCTGCCGTCTGATATCTTGATATGCATTCGAATATGAAACAGTCCTGGAATATAAATATTTTTTGCTTTCTTTTTAAGTTTCCGAAACTTCGTCTTTGGACGAAACGTTTCAAAAATGTCTATCTTAGGGTGTTGAAACGTGTTCTCAAGGGACTGCTTCATATTCGAATGAATATCAAGATATCAGACGGCAGAAGTTAGCTTCGGAATTTATTAAATTCTGAAACTTTGTATTAATATTGTAAAATATTCGCACGTCATATCCTACTACACTTTTGTGCCATGTTTTAGTGTCTTATTTTATGTAATTAACGTATATTTAGAAAAATGTAGTAATGTAACTTTTGTGTAAAGTTATAAAAACGAAATTTGTAAATTCAAATTCAAATATTTATTTGCACAAATATTTATTTGCTATTTGTATAACGGATTACATCATTGATTACATCAATTTTGCAATTCTAGAATAATTTTTGGCGCGATAACATTCTGTGAATGTTAGTTTCTGTAATTGTATTATGACTAAGTACATTATGTTTTTCTCTAATTAGATTTTCTTTCTGAAATACATTTTAAATTTAAACTAACCTAAAACCTAACAACCCAAATGGTCATCTATAGATTTCTAAGGGGTATCAGAGTGCAAAATGAATTAAGAGCTCGTTGGGGTGAATCCCAGGTCCACAATCATGAACTAGACGTAGAGACAATAAAATTGAGAGGTCCTTCTTGATTTCTACTAATAAAATAATCCACAAGCAGACAGTCCACGTGGTGAATGAGTTAAACGAATCTGCGGCCGGTAGCACGGGTCGGTGCATGCTTTGACCGCTTCGTGTTTTCATAAAATGTCACACGAGGCACTGTGACCATTTAAGTTACATTTATTAGCTTTCTGTGTAACATGTCACACAAGTTGGGCGGCTCCTTCAACGGTCTCATACAAAAACGCTAATATAAAGCATATTTTGTGCACGACAAGTGGCAACAATAGTCACTACTCGTTACACATAACAAGGTTACTAATCTATTTTAGTGTAGTTATTATTTTTACTAGCGACAAAATCAATCAGTAATGAGCCATTACTGTCGGGCATGATGGCTCGCGGCGATCTCAGACAGTACATTTTCGTTGCAAAATCACCCTTAATGTTACCACATTAAGATATCACAGTGTTCAGCTTGATACGCCGCCTGTACAATCCGTGTCCCAACTAGACCGTGCTCTGTTCACGTTCCCCCGTACTTTCTCTGCTTTCGCGACCACTGCAATAATTAGCCGCCTTGCTGATTAATTATACGACTACAAGTCTTATATCGGTAGCCACTAGGTTTGCAACTAAAAATGTTACTACCATAGTTAATAGTTGTTCCCGATAATTTATGAGAACAGAACATAAATTGAATTTTCTTTTTTATGTGTTACGTGCAGGAACCATTATAACTTTAGTGTTAGTACTTACCCGTACAAGTACTGAAATTAATGCAGTTAATGAATGAGCAGATACATAAGCGATTTTGAGCAATAATGGCTGAAACTTCAATGATTTTCTTTCATGTCAGAGTACTATAATAACTACCTGGAGTACTTAGTTATAAGGTAGGTAGATATATGCTATTAACAGACATTAATTTAACAATGATTGAAATTAACTTTTTACATGGAGAGTTTAAACTTTAAAGTGACTTGATTAACTATCTTAAATACTTTTCGTTGATCGTTTTCTACAAATGTTACTAGTAGAAGTAGTTTCTTATCTGAACTGAGGCGTGAACATGGTTGGAATTACAACATACATTTAGTTTTTACCCGTACTCAATACGGCAGCATACTTTCAGCCAATTAGTTTTATGGTATCTCAAAGTCGGTGATGGTCAGCACCGTGCAAATAGAAATTAATCGAAAAAAAATTCTAATAAATTACTGTTACGTAAGCTGATACTTATCACTGATTTTCTATAAGATTATAGATTTTAGGATCGGGCTATCAAATATCTGATAACGTACTTATGTTACCCGTATTACATATCTATTTGAGAAATATCATATCTATTCGTGTCTAGGAAATTGATACACCTAACGTATAATATCTGCAGCTTTTAATGAAGTCTGATTTAGCATCTAGAATAGGCAGCAAGTAATAGTTAATTAAATACTAGTTTTTCACCTTAGAACGATAATACAAGTTTTAACACAGTAGATATTTAAAGAATATACAACCACCCAGAATGGAAATTAAGTTGCTCCAAGCCAATTACCGAAACCTATTATCAAGATATCACTATAATTGAAAAGGATTCTCCTCTAACGTTAATAACAGTAAATGCGGACTGCGCTCAGGCACGCCTAATCGCTAATCACTATTTTCCGATAATGCCTACTGTACTTTTGAGGTGTACTCTGCAATACCATTTAATCGTCTTTTATTCTTTTCGTCTTCCTCACTCGCCCAAGGATGCTGACAGGAGTAAGAGAGAAAGAAAGAACAGATATTACGACATAGTTTCGCTAAGTGGAACACCAGGTAATCTCTATAAAACACACACGTCAAGCTCATGTATTAAATCAAGACTAAATACGTAGCACTAATGAGACAGTACTGCTGTCAGATGCCGTTAATCGGAACCGATTATGAAATTTAATGAAAAACTAACCAGCGTTCGATAGCTGCTACAGCCGTGTGTTTTTATAAATTTCTTGTTTGCTCGTAATACGTTTTATTTAACTCAACTTTAGTTATCTAGTCATCCCTAGGAATGTCGTTGTGGATATGACAAAATAATGTACTCAAAGGAGTTCGTTTATGTAGCTGAAAAAATGTAATTCGGTCGCAAATGAAATCATTCGATGACGCGTCGATTGTTGAATATCACGTCAAACGCTCCAATGCGGTTTGAATAGTTTGTCAAATCCAACAATTGGGGATTAATTGTTTGAGATGTATTCGCTGCGCGTGCGCCACATACCGCCTGCTAATACGAACGTAAAGCCGCGCTTATTGGCCAGTAATTGGCGTCAATTACGTACGGTCCCAATGCAGCTGAGTTATTGGGTTTGGTAAGATTCATCCTCCTCGTCTACTGGGAAAGACGCTAATGGTTCGAACACACGAAACGTTTTTAGCGGGCCGAACGTGTAAACTTAGAAATCGGAGCACCATGTGTAGTGATTATGAAAGAAACGGTGATTACATTGGTGTTGTTTCCACAAAAAGATGAATTTATGAGTAATAAATAATTTTGTTAATTACTACACTCGGATTGAATACACCTAAAAACGAATAAAGCACATAACAACGTGTAAATGAGTTGGCAAAAGAAAAGACAAGAACTCAGATTATTGTCATGAATGGATTATCAATAAAACCTAGTATTTTTTGTAGGAAATTGCCAAGTGCCAACTGGTTAATTTTGTTTATGTAACACATTTCCGTTGTGTAAAAGTGACTTTCAGTGGTATGTTCACAAATTGGGATTCATTTAATAGAATTTTGAATTGGCGTGATTAATGCACCAATGCGTTTTTTACCAGCCAATTGTAAGGAGGCATTAAATGAACATTATTTTCAGTATCTGAAGCCCGAAAATTTATCCTGACGCAAGTGTATTTTAGCATTGCATGGCATACAATCAGAGGCTCGAATCTAGTCGACTTAAATCGAGGTTTGATCATCATTCCATAAAGGATGCGGGCCCAAGTGAGTAAATAATTATTTATTTGTAAAATGTTGCATTATTGCAACATTATACAAAGTTAATAAACCTTAGGGGTTGATTGTTGCTCAAACTGTTTGAACACAAAAAGGGAAGTTGGTGTCAGACTCGGAATGTTGCACAACAGATGACAAGTCAGATAACCTCAAAATCCATCCGCGTAATAAAATTAATAATGAGTGTATTAACATAACAGCGGATTACAAATTACGCTACATAACATGTAGGAAACATAAAAGATATAACAATTAGGGCGATCGTATATGACTTTATAATCATCCGTTTTGTTGTACGTGTTGCGGGATCGATTCCCGCTAGGGTCAATAGTGTGAAGAAACTTTTAAGTAACTACGAATTAATTTCTTCGGAAGAATGAATCGTTGAAAAAGCAGCGCAAGAATCTTTAGTACAAAAATACACATATCGATGTATTTTAATTTTCCATTGTATTTAATAAACTGCAATGTAAACAGTTCTTTTGTTGTTTATCTTTGTATTGTAAGCAACTTAATTGATATTTATTTCGAATTTAACTGACGAATATACCTTCAACATGTCATAAAGTATTAATTTAATTACGCCGTAGACTTCACACTTTACAGTTGCTATTACCTCATACGATTAATTAAGGGTACGTTGCTTAATTACCATTGCTGTTAGGTTGTTGCACGTGTTGTCACAATGTGTGACCGATTCGCTATTGTTTTCACTTTCACGACTAATTATTTTGACGTGTGTAACGTGAATATGTACAGTCAGCGTCAAATAGTTCGTGACACGAAAAGTGACCAAAAAGTTGTCAACACAACCTTATTCCAATGTAACAAAGACGTGGTGCGAACTTTTTGGCTTCTTTGAGTGTCACGAACGCTGACGCTGACTGTACTAGAGCAATAAATAATACAAAGGAATGCATTTTTATTACTATTTTGGACGTCACCGAGCATCGAGCGATTTCCACACATTTCAGTTGTTATTTGTCACATTTATGACGATGTTTTCTCTTTAGTCTTCACCAATCAAAGTGATTCGTGTTTAGAGACGGCACTTGAGAGCAACATTTTATTCTGTTTAAAGCACGTCAAGATTAACACTGTGATTTCCTAACAAGTCGTAAAAGAGGCGATATTGTAATGTAGTTATTTTTCAATCGAAGTAATCTGTTTAAGCTATTTTAAGTATAGTTCAGAATGGACAGTTTTGACACATTTATGTTCTTTACATAACATGGACAGTGGACACGCTCTGTCTAACCTTAGATTAAATCTAACAATGAACATGTTTAGAACAAAAATACACATAACTCCAAAACAGTGGTTCGAGTAAATTATAACCCCAGCAGATTGCTTTGTAAAAGAAAATTAATTTCGTACTGAAGTCGATAAATCAAATAAACTATTGCTTGATTTTTCATTACTCGCCATTTTTAATTCAAATTACTCAATACGGATCTTAAACTCATCATGAGAAAGTCGAAAGCTGAATAAATGATTTATTTACATTTCAACTCGACGGGCGTGTTACGAGTGCCACACGATAGTAAGACCACAGTAAAGATAAAACAGAAACTTCATTTCATATCAAACTCAAATACCTATAGTTTGTAAAAAAAACGACACAAGATTGAAATATGTACCTATTTCAAGTGAAAAAACTAGTAACAATAGAGCTCTATGTTGTATTAAAAAAAAGATCGAAGAGCTTGGGCAATTAAAAATGCAACGTAAAGAACAATATGTATATGTGTACTATACAATAGTACTATGAAGAGCTCTTGGCAAACGTGGTTCTACAGAAATAGGTTTTAAAATGAATTGCCACAGAGTAAAAAACAACGTGAGCATTTTTTCCAAGACGGGCATATCACATAAATGGCAGGGAAGGCCTGGTTTAGCACTACACTATAATATATTACTAAGGGATGCTGTAAATTACTAAGCATCTGGCTGTAGTGTGGAACTGTGGACTTACTCCATCCACTTGCGTTGTGACTTAAATTACTTGCTTAATTACGTCGCCCCGCGGATGCGTCGCAATTATTATGTTGATTAGTTTAATTATACGGCGCGATAAAAGGAAATAAGCGACGGCTACACTTCAAGAAGCAGATTAAAAAGATTTTCATTCATTACTAACTGAGGCTGAGGTTCCCCTTACGCATGGTAAAATGGTATTACCATTTGTATGGCAGTTTCTAATGTCTTTATTGTGGAAAGCGGGCATATAACTGACTTATTAGCATTAATTGTTACAATTATTACGTAGTCAATTAATTTTAATAATTGTTTTAGGCAAAGCGCGTAATTTAAATGTTACCTTATAATTAAATACCTAGCTGATAGACCGTCACGGAAATCGTTTATAGTTAGGGAAATATTAGTTCTTTATAAGTTAATTGCGGATTAGATTAGTTTATTATTACTTAATTATCACGGAAAGAAGGGCCAGTGCTTTATAGAGGTAATAAACCAATAAATAATAGGACATTAAATATTAATGAGGCCGGTAGTTATGACTCGATCATAATTATATTTTTCTAAAATTCGATGTGTTAGCGAAATTATCACTAGCCAGTAAGGGCACTATGAACGACGGAAATATTAGTACATAAATTAAGATCGAATTCAATAAAACAATAATATGTCGTGCTGAGTGATTGCACGAATTGTGAAACTTGACTGCTTTCAAGTGCTATAACTGACGTTAGATTTATGACTCGTGTAGTTTCTATCTTTGAGACATAATTATATTCAACTATTTTTTTTCTACATGACGGATTATACTTAAATAGGTATCAAAATAGTTATCCATTACACGATAAAACAACAATCGGGCCAGTAGAAGGCGGCCTTTTAGGAACTTGTGCTTGAGAGAGCTGATCTTCCCTGGCCTTTTGTCCCTATGTCTGAGAGTTCTCCACCTGGACATGAGCTCCCCTGGCTTACCTGGAAGTCTTTAAATAGACTTCGGATGCAGGTAGTACGGACAATCTGTTCAGGTGGGGACTCTTGGATCCTAGATCCAGTCGACGAAGCATATGATATCGTGCCCTGCGTGCCCAAAAAACTGCACGCAGAAAAACTTAATGAAGGTTACTAACAACGCCACTCTTGTAGCGGAGTTTTGCGCTGACACTGTGTAGGTTTGTTGTCGACACGACAAGAAGACTTGACACTGGCGAAATGTGCACAGAAAGCCAAAACCAAATAAAAATGTATGTAACTTTGTTGGTGTACCTAATCTTCTTCTGAGCCTTATCCCGTTACGCGGGGTCGGATTTCTCGATTATGCGTCGGCATTTGTTTCTATCTTAAACGTCTTGTTCATGGAGTTCCAATACCTTCATGTCATTTTGTTGATTCTTCAACCAGTGGCCTTAATCACGTATTTTGACACAGTCAAAATCTCGTTGACCTTTAGAAGTCGTCCTATTGAAAAACGGTTCTAAATCCGTCCGTATTTACAATGGTCGTTTCGATAGAACGATTACTCAATAGGATCGCAACTCAGCGATTTGTTGTCGTTGAAGTTTTGTTACGTGAATAAGGCTACAGAGTTGGGGTTTGTTGGTGAACTATCGGGGACTCGAACGCCTTGACACCTTAAGGGCCTAAATTGTTTGCACACACACGCTCGATTTTGCTCCGCCCCCGTTCATTCATGTTTCGAGTCTAAGCAGCGTCGGCGCACCACTGTAGATGTTTGCCCTAGCAAACCAAGCTCTATGTAAAGCACTTAGGATTGAGTATTNTCTAGTCCCGTCCTAAGATGATCCATCTTATGTAGTTTTGCCCGGTTCCCGCTACGCCGGACCGGAAAATCTGTGGGACCGGTATAACTCCCGAAAGGGCTAGTGGCTGTACAATTTATAAAGCTATTCACAATCCCGGATGCCGGATCCCACAAGACAGTCAAGTCAGTCTACTTTCATCAAAATATGCGAGCCGAATGACGCGAGGGGAGCACTAACCGGTGCCGGACAAACTCGTTCACAAAATTCACAGTGACAAAACGCTCGGTAAAAATGCCGGACTCGGCTAAAATGCCGGATCCGGGATAATGTGAACAGCTTCATACAATTTGTACCGCCGCTAGGCCTTCCGGCGATTTTACTGGACCGGCAGAAATGCCGGTAGTCCGACGTCAGGTACAAGAGCAAGAGGAACTTCAGAAGTCAGACTTAAGAGGAAGAGCAACTGTTCCCCATCTTAGTCCCAAGTCAGACCCGGGAGCAGCAGAATCTTTCCCTTCTTAATCCCGAGTGAGACTCAGGAGTAGCAGTTTGGTCCCTTTTTAGTCCCAAGTCAGATTCAGATGAAGTTATGTAAGTTCGGTCGCCGATTAAATGCGTAATTATATTGCTGTCGCGCTTGCACACTCACTGCGGCCGCCCGTCGCACAGTCGTGACAGCAATATAATTAGACGCGAGCGATAAGGATGGGTAGCTTGGGGTCAATGGACAAAAATCTATGTGCTCGGCGACCGGACTTTAGTTACGGTTAGGAGGAGCGGCATTACTCTATGCAGTATCTTCTCCAGTGCAGCTGTTCCCGAAAGGTGGTCCGCGGAACCCTGGGGTTCCGTGGAAAGGCCGCAAGGGTTCCCTAAAAAATATTATCCCACGTTTCGTGACCGACGTTGTTCGCTCGCACCGACTTGTTTACGCACAAGGGAGGGGCAGGGCGTGCGGGCGGAGTAGTACGGGGGTTCCGCTAGGAAAAGTATAATCAATTAGGGTTCCTTGGCAAAAAATAATTGGGAAACCCTGCTCCAGTGTAGCATTGTACCTTGACGCGCTGGCCGTGGAGGAGGAGCGGCGCGCGGTGGTGGCGCGCTCGCCGGCCGCGTGCAGCGCGCGTCGCCGTAGTCCGACGTCAGGTACAAGAGCAAGAGGAACTTCAGAAGTCAGACTTAAGAGGAAGAGCAACTGTTCCCCATCTTAGTCCCAAGTGTTTAAGAGTGTTTATGTATTAAGTTCAAAACGCCACCAACAGATGGCGCTGTACGTTATTAACTCGCGCAAGTGAAGTATTTTTTGGCCCATACATAATATGGGTGACTACAGAGTATATTTTCGAACAACTTAATACACGTCTTGTCTTAGTACAATACTATTGTGGTTTTATTTGAGTTAACCCTTTAGTACAGTTCAGAACATCGCAAGTTCAGTGTGTTAACACCAAGTCAGACCCGGGAGCAGCAGAATCTTTCCCTTCTTAATCCCGAGTGAGACTCAGGAGTAGCAGTTTAGTCCCTTTTTAGTCCCAAGTCAGATCCAGATGAAGTTATGTAAAGTCCGGTCGCCGATCAAATGCCTAGGCCTTAGTACTATTAAAGTGTACCTGGAGGCGCTGGCCGTGGAGGAGGAGCGGCGCGCGGTGGTGGCGCGCTCGCCGGCCGCGTGCAGCGCGCGTCACCGTAATCCGACGTCAAATACAAGAGCAAGAGGAACTTCAGAGGTCAGACTTAAGAGGAAGAGCAACTGTTCCCCATCTTAGTCCCAAGTCAGACCCGGGAGCAGCAGAATCTTTCCCCTTCTTAATCCCGAGTGAGACTCAGGAGTAGCAGTTTAGTCCCTTTTTAGTCCCAAGTCAGATTCAGATGAAGTTACGTAAAGTCCGGTCGCCGATCAAATGCGTATTTTTTTTTTATAAAAAAAATATTTGGCACCAAATTGCTGTCGCGCTTGCACACTCACTGCGGCCGCCCGTCGCACAGTCGTGACAGCAATATAATTAGGCGCGAGCGATAAGGATGGGTAGCTTGGGGTCAATGGACGAAAATCTATGTGCTCGGCAACCAGACTGTAGTTACAGTTAGGAGGAGCGGCATTACTCTATGCAGTATATCCTCCAGTGCAGTGGTTCTTAACCGGTGGTCCGCGGACCACTGGTGGTCCCTGGAGGCATTCCAAGTGGTCCACGAAGACATCGTAATAAACAAGTGACGTGATGAGTCAAGTCAACACAACGCAAACGACGCACAGTGGGCGAGAAATCGACCTCTCTTATCATAGGATTTTGAAAAAAAAGTGGTCCCTGACAAGACAGAAATTTGATAAAATGGTCCCTCGTGACTTAAAGGTTAAGAACCACTGCTCCAGTGTAGCAGTGTACCTTGAGGCGCTGGCCGTGGAGGAGGAGCGGCGCGCGGTGGTGGCGCGCTCGCCGGCCGCGTGCAGCGCGCGTCGTCGCCGCTCCTCTTGTTCTGCCGCTAGCCGCACGATGCGCGCGCGCATCTCGCCCTCCTCGCAGATATCTGCACGGAAAAACAAGGATTAGATTATGATTTGACTCACTGAATTTAAAACTGCATGATGTCATAATACACTCGACGTCAAATAAATCGCACCTCCCGCAACAAGCATTTTCAAACGTATGCATCCCCACTTCCCACCAATATTAATACCATTTAAAAGCCTAGTTCTAACCTTCATTTCATTAAAGGAAAGGTTTTTACCCCAAAAATGTGTCTTTACAAGGATCCAGAGTCAATTCTTCAAAAAATAGGTAGTTACGCTAGAGCCAACTTTTATGGCTATAAAACTGTTAAGTTGGGTTTAATTGCTATCCATCTGTTAAAGAGGATACGTGAAATCATTATTTGGTTTTATAACCATAAAAATTGGTCTAATTGATCCCATAGGTGGGCCCAAAGTGAGGTATTTTTTCAAGTCACATTATATGGTATATGTTAATCATTTATTAAGAAATTAAATGTGTTTTTCTTTAAGTATATTTATTGGGCTTTCAAATAACACCAATATTGTTGGGGTACCATGATTGTGTCAGAAGAAAATCGTTAAAGTTCGCGTCGCGGAAGGTGCGGTTTATTTGATGTTTCATTGACCTGCGCTAGCGCTACGGGCTCCTGCCGCGGGTCTGCACTCCACGGCGGGTACCCACCGCGTTCGCAAGCCTCCCACCAAGCATGTGGAAACTTATGCCCGTTTTCACCATCAATCCTTAATTTTTAAGTGGTGGGTAATGGTCTATGGTAACACATAACTAGAATTTTGTTTTCAAAGGGGTAACTTAAAATTAGGGATTGATGGTGGAGTGGATTAAAATATACATCATAGTAAAATTTATATGTATATTTTGTAGATCATAGTAATATCTAACGATTGAATTCATAAAACATGGATGTAAGCATCTAAGGCAATATTACACACTGTGCCATGCTCATAGGTACTATTTTTCTATACAAATACGCGTGCGTGCGAACGCGCGAATTTTGGTGTAGGCCCTCCTGATGCAATGATAGTACGTAACGTAAAAAAAAATAATAGCCTCGAGCCAAATTATCACAGCTAAAGTGGTCAGTCACACCGCACACTGGTAATAAGATTTTCTAAACAATGCTCAATAAACCTATTCAAACGATAAGGAATATTGTACCATACCCCAGTAGTTGTAATACATACGAGTAACATGCGCCTATCATAATATTTACAATGTCATTAGCACGTCACGTTTGCCTCCACATTACCTGCAGGCGTTTCGTCGTGTTTATTCCGCACGTTGAGATCAGCGCCGTACTGCACAAGCAACTCTAATACCTCTAACTGAAACAAACAACTCGCGTTATTTATTTATTATGGGTTATTCACAAGTATTCACAATGCATTCGCATGCATACACATGTTAGTGTGGGTCATTTACGCAATATCTGTTTATTACAGCATGCCAATTCAAAGTTGTATATGTCAACGTAAAATTGTGAACTCTGTCAGTTTATAATATAACGCGTTAGATTGTAAACTAATAGTGGGTTAGGTTAGGTTAGATTGTAATTTAACTACGTCAGATTATAATCTGACGGAATTCACAATTTTACGGTGACATATACAAGACAAGGTATTTGTCAATTAAAATTCATTCATAGCCTTGTCGCAATTACAGCCAATTTTAATAACAAAAATATCTAAAATGCCTGCATTTGTTTTTCCTCAAAAATATGATCGTAAAATACCTACTATGATAAGTGATCCACAGATCATAATATCTGATTATGATTCCACTATAATATGATCATAAATCGGATAAGTTTCGTAGTATTGAAAAGCGTAAATACTGTCATAATAGATTTTTAATCAGACAACTGATAAAAGCTAAATTTATCAATTAATTTTTATACTCCAATCTTTCCAAATAGTATACACATATTATAGTTCTTGCAACTCACGAAGGCGAGTGAGCTTTACTAGTGTGTGTACGTGTACGATGTAACGATAGTGTAATGTCTATCAAAAGTTATGAAAATCGAACAATAATAGCGAGCCACCACACATGTAAAGCTCAGTCGCCTTCGTGAATTGCAACAACTATAGCACACATAGAAGAGTCACTAAACGTTTTCGTTTCCCGTTTCAAATTTACTAAAACCTATTTATTAAAGTGGCCAAAGGACAGTGCCAATCCATGTATGGAAGTTGGACCAAGTGCTGCCCAGAATGAAACTATAGTGCATTTTGTTCCTCAGGCCAATACTAATTTGTAAACCGGAGCGCACTGAAATCTATCCCTGGAGTTAAGAGAAAAAAAGAGTTTTGTTTGGAATTATTTACATACAAAATATCATCGATGTATACCTACTACGCATAAGATTTCGCGATTTTGGCATTAAATAACACTCGTTATGTTGAACTTAACCATACTGCATCCGTACACCTTACTTTAGTACGACTTCGACATTATTTATAAGCGATCAAGCGCTGTTGCAGTAGTTTGGTTAGTTGACCGAAATTAATTATTTCTAAAATAGAGCAAGAAGTTTTAGCTTACAATAACTTCAATAATCGATTGTAATACACCAATAAATTGATTTTTCGCAAGGATAGAGAACTAAAACTTCTTGATTCATTTTGGAAATAATGATTTCTGTCAAGTAACCAAACTATTGCAACAGCGCTAGATCGCTTATAAAGAATGTCTAAGTCGCACTAAAGTAAGGTGTACGGATGCAGTATGGTTAAGTTCAACATAGCGAGTGTTATTTAATGCCAAAATCGCGAAATCTTATGCGTAGTAGGTATACATCGATGATATTTTGTNTAGCGAGTGTTATTTAATGCCAAAATCGCGAAATCTTATGCGTAGTACGTATACATCGATGATATTTTGTATGTAAATATTTCAAAACAAAACTCTTTTTTTCTCTTAACTCCAGGGATAGATTGCAGTGCGCTTCGGTTAATACATTAGTATTGGTCTGAGGAACAAAATGCACTATGTGTTGATTCTGGGCAGCACTTGGTCCAGACCCTGGCACTATCCTTTATTATTTCATCTGAACCTCTCACAAAAACAACCACACGTCATCTCTGGTAATACCATATTTACATCACATTCAGGGCTATTTTCATCTCTCGATTCTACCGCTGCAACTCCTGTGTAGCCAGAATCAAAAGCTTGACCCTAATAAAAGTACAATCAAGGCCAATATTGCCTCATTTCCACCACAGACATGCACACACAACGTATAAAAAGACCTTATTTCACACACAATTATGATACAAATTTCCACCCCATGCACAAGACAATAAACCAAACATATACTGACATGTCCCCAGCAAGCCGCCGCGTGAACTGGCTGCCAAACGTCGTGGTCTACCACGTCAGTAGACGCCCGGTGCTCTAGCAGGAACTCCACCACTTTGGTGTAGCCATTCGCCGAGGCTATATGCAGCTGTAACAATTACAAAATGAATGAATTTCTAAATGATGAATGAACTTTTTGTAGGGGAATTTGACATATAAATAAATATTATTGTGGAACATGGGAGTGTAATTCAAATTCTCCATTTGCCTATTGAATTTAAAAGAGGGTCGTTTTCATGCAGTGGAGACTGAATGATTTAATAATGCTTCCCAAGAAAATTATAAACCTTTAGTGAAAGAATCACAGAGATCCTCATAATAGCTCATCTAAGTCCATCCCCTCCGCTCCGCAACTTCCATAGTTCCATCACCGATCATCCTCATTTCGGTGGCGACCTACATCTCATCTATCAGTCACTTTCTGACATTCTTTACAATATTTTTTCCTTTTTAAAAATACTTACCAAAGTTACGCCCTGGTTATCCCTCGGCTCGTCCAAGTCCATCCCTTCCTTGACCACTTCTACAACATCCATCAGCATTCTCATTTCGGTGGCGACCTACGTCTCATCTATCAACCACTTTCTGACATTCTTTACAATATTTATTCCTTTTTAAAAAAGTGTTTAAAAATACTTACCAAAGTAGCACCCTGGTTATCCCTCGGCTCGTCCAAGTCCATCCCCTCCTTGACCAACTCCGCAACATCCATCAGCATCCTCATTTCGGTGGCGGCGCGCGTCTCGTCTATCAGTCTCTGAGCCTATTCTTTGCAATATTTTTGATAAGAACTTACCAACGTAGCACCCTGGTTATCCCTCGGCTCATCCATATCTATCAACTCCTAATCCAGCTCCGTAACATCCATCAGCATACTCATTTCGGTGGTGGACCGCACGCACCCCATCTATTAGTCATTCAGTGGCATTTTTTGGCACCAAGATTTGATAAAAACTTACCAAAGTAGCACCCTGGTTATCCCTCGGCTCGTCCAAGTCCATCCCCTCCTTGACCAACTCCGCCACATCCATCAGCATCCTCATTTCGGTGGCGGCTCGCGTCTCGTCTATCAGCCACTTTGTGACCTTCTTTACAATATTTTTTCCTTTTTAAAAAAGTGTTTAAAAATACTTACCAAAGTTACGCCCTGGTTATCCCTCGGCTCGTCCAAGTCCATCCCTTCCTTGACCACCTCTACAACATCCATCAGCATTCTCATTTCGGTGGCGACCTACGTCTCATCTATCAATCACTTTCTGACATTCTTTACAATATTTTTTTTTTAAAAAGGGTTTAAAAATACTTACCAAAGTTACGCCCTGGTTATCCCTCGGCTCGTCCAAGTCCATCCCTTCCTTGACCACCTCTACAACATCCATCAGCATTCTCATTTCGGTGGCGACCTACGTCTCATCTATCAATCACTTTCTGACATTCTTTACAATATTTTTTCCTTTTTAAAAAAGTGTTTAAAAATACTTACCAAAGTTACGCCCTGGTTATCCCTCGGCTCGTCCAAGTCCATCCCCTCCTTGACCAACTCCGCAACATCCATCAGCATCCTCATTTCGGTGGCGGCGCGCGTCTCGTCTATCAGTCTCTGAGCCTATTCTTTGCAATATTTTTGATAAGAACTTACCAAAGTAGCACCCTGGTTATCCCTCGGCTCGTCCAAGTCTATCCCTTTTTTGACCAGCTCCGCAACATCCATCAGCATCCTCATTTCGGTGGCGGCGCGCGTCTCGTCTATCAGTCCCTGTGTGACGTTCTTTGCAATATATTTTATAAAACTTACCAAAGTAGCACCCTGGTTATTTCTCGGCTCGTCAAAGTCCATCCCTTCCTTGACGAGCTCCGCAACATCCATCAGCATTATCATTTCGGTGGTGACCCGTGTCCCATCTATTAGTCATTTAGTGACATTTTTTGGTACCAAGATTTAATAAAAACTTACCAAAGTAGCACCCTGGTTATCCCTCGGCTCGTCCAAGTCCATCCCCTCCTTGACCAACTCCGCCACATCCATCAGCATCCTCATTTCGGTGGCGGTTCGCGTCTCGTCTATCAGTCCCTGTGTGACCTTCTTTGCAATATATTTTATAATAACTTACCAAAGTAGCACCCTGATTATCGTCCAAGTCCATCCCTTCCTTGACCAGCTCCGCAACATCCATCAGCATCCTCATTTCGGTGGCGGCGCGCGTCTCGTCTATCAGTATCTAGGGGACATTCTTTGCAAACTTTTTTCTTTCCCTTCACGCTTAAAAATAGAACTTACCAAAGTAGCACCCTGGTTATCCCTTGGCTCGTCCAAGTCCATCCCTTCCTTGACCAGCTCCGCAAAATTTACCAGCATCCTCATTTCGGTGGCGGCCCGCGTCTCGTCTATCTGTCACTTAGTGATATTTTTTGACATGAAGTTTTAACGAGACTTACCAAAGTAGCACCCTGGTTATCCCTCGGCTCGTCCAAGTCCATCCCTTCTTTGACCAGCTCCGCAACATCCATCAGCATCCTCATTTCGGTGGCGGCGCGCGTCTCGTCTATCAATCTCTGGGTGACATTCTTTGGCATGGGAATTTGATAAGAACTTGGTACTTACCAAAGTAGCGCCCTGGTTATCCCTAGGCTCGTCCAAGTCCATCCCTTCCTTAACCAGCTCTACAAATTCCATCAGCATTCTCATTTCGGTGGCGACCTACGTCTCATCTATCAGTCACTTTCTGACATTCTTTACAATATTTATTCCTTTTTAAAAAAGTGTTTAAAAATACTTACCAAAGTAGCACCCTGGTTATCCCTCGGCTCGTCCAAGTCCATCCCCTCCTTGACCAACTCCGCAACATCCATCAGCATCCTCATTTCGGTGGCGACGCGCGTCTCGTCTATCAGTCTCTGAGCCTATTCTTTGCAATATTTTTGATAAGAACTTACCAACGTAGCACCCTGGTTATCCCTCGGCTCATCCATATCTATCAACTCCTAATCCAGCTCCGTAACATCCATCAGCATACTCATTTCGGTGGTGGACCGCACGCACCCCATCTATTAGTCATTCGGTGACATTTTTTGGTACCAAGATTAAATAAAAACTTACCAAAGTAGCACCCTGGTTATCCCTTGGCTCGTCCAAGTCCATCCCTTCCTTGACCAGCTCTACAAATTCCATCAGTATTCTCATTTCGGTGGCGACCTACGTCTCATCTATGAACCACTTTCTGACATTCTTTACAATATTTATTTCTTTTTAAAAAAGTGTTTAAAAATACTTACCAAAGTAGCACCCTGGTTATCCCTCGGCTCGTCCAAGTCCATCCCTTCCTTGACCAGCTCCGCAACATCCATCAGCATCCTCATTTCGGTGGCGGCGCGCGTCTCGTCTATCAGTCTCTGGGTGACGCCCCTCGCAGCCATCTCGCTCTCGATCGCGTCTAGCGTTCTCTCTTCCTCGCAGATGTCGTATGGCATGTTGCCGTCACCGTTGACGGCCAAAAGGTTTGCGCCTCGCTGGATGAGTATTCGGACCTGAATAAAAATAAATAAAATTTCATTAACAATGGTCAGTTTTTCAGACAACGACATTTTTTGTTCAAATACAAGGCACAATGATTAGCGAAAAATTTCTATTGCGTGGTTCCTGTTTTCTTTTTATGTTTACTAGGCAGTCAGCTGTATCTAGTTTCTAGTGCTGGAGCTATCTATAATTAAGGTTAGTCTACTTCGTTGTGAGACTTAACAGCGTAATCTTACCAGGTTTAAGTTCCTGCATGTTGAAGGATCGCATAAAGGCCTTTGCCTTGACGTTGCCGCGTTATCGAGAAGCAGCCGCATCATGGCCTCGTTGTCGACGCGACTCTAGTGTGGGGACAGTGTCTCTGTAATCACTACTACAGCTGGGTATCTCGAATTCCGAGGTGAACTTACTATAATGACTGGACACTATACGAACTCACCAGGTTGAGGTTCCCGCAGGTGGCGGCGGCGTGAAGGGGCGTCCACTTCTCGCTGTCCTCCGCATTGACATTTTCCCCATGGTCTAACAACAGCCGCGTCATGGCCTCGTTGTCGAGGCGGCACTAGTGTGGGGACAGTGTCTCAGTAAACACTACTCGCTCACCAGGTTGAGGTTCCCGCAGGTGGCAGCGGCGTGAAGGGGCGTCCACTTTTCGCTGACTTCTGCGTTGACGTTGGCACCATGGTCGAACTACAGCCGCATCATGGCCTCATTGTCGATGCAGCACTAGTGTGGGGACAGTGTCTCTGTAACCACTACTCGCTCACCAGGTTGAGGTTCCCGCAGGTGGCGGCGGCGTGAAGGGGCGTCCACTTCTCGCTGTCCTCCGCATTGACATTTTCCCCATGGTCTAACAACAGCCGCGTCATGGCCTCGTTGTCGAGGCGGCACTAGTGTGGGGACAGTGTCTCAGTAAACACTACTCGCTCACCAGGTTGAGGTTCCCGCAGGTGGCGGCGGCGTGCAGGGGCGTCCACTTTTCGCTGTCTTCTGCATTGACGTTTGCTCCGTGGTCTAACAACAGCCGCGTCATGGCCTCGTTGTCGAGGCGGCACTAGTGTGGGGACAGTGTCTCAGTAAACACTACTCGCTCACCAGGTTGAGGTTCCCGCAGGTGGCGGCGGCGTGCAGGGGCGTCCACTTTTCGCTGTCTTCTGCATTGACGTTTGCTCCGTGGTCTAACAACAGCCGCGTCATGGCCTCGTTGTCGAGGCGGCACTAGTGTGGGGACAGTGTCTCAGTAAACACTACTCGCTCACCAGGTTGAGGTTCCCGCAGGTGGCGGCGGCGTGCAGGGGCGTCCACTTTTCGCTGTCTTCTGCATTGACGTTTGCTCCGTGGTCTAACAACAGCCGCGTCATGGCCTCGTTGTCGAGGCGGCACTAGTGTGGGGACAGTGTCTCAGTAAACACTACTCGCTCACCAGGTTGAGGTTCCCGCAGGTGGCGGCGGCGTGCAGGGGCGTCCACTTTTCGCTGTCTTCTGCATTGACGTTTGCTCCGTGGTCTAACAACAGCCGCGTCATGGCCTCGTTGTCGAGGCGGCACTAGTGTGGGGACAGTGTCTCAGTAAACACTACTCGCTCACCAGGTTGAGGTTCCCGCAGGTGGCGGCGGCGTGCAGGGGCGTCCACTTTTCGCTGTCTTCTGCATTGACGTTTGCTCCGTGGTCTAACAACAGCCGCGTCATGGCCTCGTTGTCGAGGCGGCACTAGTGTGGGGACAGTGTCTCAGTAAACACTACTCGCTCACCAGGTTGAGGTTCCCGCAGGTGGCGGCGGCGTGCAGGGGCGTCCACTTCTCGCTGTCTTCTGCATTAACGTTGGCGCCGTTGTCTAACAGCAGCCGCATCATGGCCTCGTTGTTATCGATGCAACACTGGTGCAGCGCCGTTAACCCATCCTCGTTCGTTGCGTCCGGCGTCACCCCGCGCGCGAGGAGACGCCGCACTGGAAAGGGAAAACGAAACTGTTGTAATGATTATTTATGGTCCAACTAGGTTTCCGCCCGCGGCTTCGCCAGCGTGGAATTTTGTCTTTCACAGAAAAACTTTATCGCGCGCGTCCGTTTCAAAAACCGGGATAAAAACTATCCTATGTCCTTTCCCGGGACTAAAACTATCTCTATGCCAAATTTCATCAAAACCGGTTCAGACAGACAGACAGAGTTGGTTTCGAATTTATAATCTACTAGCTGTGCCCGCGACTTCGTCCGCGTGGAATAATGACTTTGGCTAGGCACTTTTATTAATTTAGTCTAATTATTTTACAAATAGCTTTTGCCCGCGACTTCGTCCGTGGAGAAGTCGAAAACGTTCTCATACGATTATTTTTAAATGTTTTAACGTTATTATCTAAATGTTTGAATACTTTTAAAATATAAAAATCAGGTTAAATAAACATGAAAATATTTTTTTCTTATATTTTATGAATATGCAGCTCGGCCTTTGATCCGGTGAACGAAATCGAAAACTACACCTACCGCAGTATTATTGGTAAANATCATGGCCTCGCTATCGATACGGCACTAGAGTGGGGACAGTGTCTGTAAACACTACTCGCTCACCAGGTTGAGGTTCCCGCAGGTGGCGGCGGCGTGCAGGGGCGTCCACTTTTCGCTGTCTTCTGCATTGACGTTTGCTCCGTGGTCTANTGCAGAGCTCTATTCAACGCTGTGCGTTCGATTTGCTTCACTTAAGCAAGCATCGTTTGTGAATACGGGCGTTAATTTCAATTTTGAAAGACATAAATTGCAATTAAAATAACACTGAATTTTAAATATGTCATTAATTAATAAAACGCTTAAATACAACGTGCTTTATCGAATAATTTACTACTAAATACTTTAGTGAGTACTGAGTATCATATCGTGGGATTTTTAAATGACGGTGTCAACTTACGAAATAGGCGATAGGTACTGAGGTATTGTGCGACGTATTCTTATCACATAGCAAGAAAGGAAAAATAGACCTAATTATGTACCTACTAAGAATTGATGAATCAACAACCCCAAGAACATCATATTATTTGTACCACAGAAAAATAATATACTTCTGTACCCAGAGCACGAATAATAATTATTATCGTTGTGGTATGATGATTTGATTGTATGAACAACAAAACAATAACCGCGATGTAATATTGGTTATATTATGGTTTTAACATTATTCGTGCTCACGGTACTAGCAGTTACTGGCCTTTTAGACATCTCACCATAATTTCATTGATTTAATTAATTACTAAGTACGATTAAAAATTAAGGTCTACTACGAGTAACATAAATACATACTATGTTTATTAAATACAGAAATCCGTGATTCTTACTCGTAAATAAAATAATGCGGAAAACTTCAATCAAACACTCCAAGAAGATGCAATAAATGAATATGAACATGGAACTTCCATGAATATGAATCTCTAGCACGAGTATAAGTGAATAAAATTGAACAACAATCTATAAACTGCATAATAATAACCCAGACGTAAGTCTACCCGCAACAAAAAAAAAATAGCTAAGTGCGTGTCGTGCCACGCGCAGTGTAGGGTTCCGTAGTTGTCCGTCGTTAACACAATATATTTCAGAAGCAAGCAATTACTTCATCTAAAGGCACTTTTAATATTTTCTTCTAATTTTTCTAGATTTTTCAAGCCAACAGTTTAGTTTTTAGAGGGGGGGGGGGGCTCCTTACTTGAACAAAAATTGGCACTTTAAACTTTAATAATTTGCAAACAAATCTCTAAATGGAAAAATAGTCTTAGAAACCCTTAAGCCATTTTAAAAGACCTATCCAACGATACCCCACACGATGGGGTAGAAGATGAAAAAAAAAATCATCCCTACTTTACGAACTACCCTAAAAAACATTTTTTTTTTCAAAATTTTATTTTACCGTGTTGTCGGCGTGATTATTATACATACCTCCACAAAATTACAGCTCTCTAGGGCCAATAGTTCCTAAGCAAAACCTCGGACAGACAGACAGACAGAAAGTCATATCGAAACTATAAGGGTTCCTTGTCAGAACTACGGAACCCTAAAAAGTAATTTGATGATCTCACAGATTAATGTTGTCAAGTAACCTGACATGGTCAGCTTTAAATAAGTAATGACACGATTGCAAGTTTGGTGATTCATTCCATAGTCGTGGAATACTATAATCATACTTAGTTCTTCGCTATGTTATCATGAATGAACATTTAGTTTGTGTTGTGACTCTGAGCAGTGCGAATCGATCCACAAACAGGGTCATTATTATGTAAACATGTTAGTTTTACTACTTCTTTGTGGATTTAACGTGATAGTGAGTGCCAGTGATGTGTTTCATGTGAACAGTAAAATAACTTTTTATCCGGACGATGTGTCGGAGTATTTTGGGTATTCTGTGCTTTTGAGCGATTTGGGGTGAGTTTGTTTTAATTATTATTTTCAGATGCAAAGAAATTAGTTAATTACTAACCTTATGATCGGTCAAAACTTTTTTAGAACCCATTTTAACACAAACTATGTACTTTATGTAGGTATCAAACGAAATTCAAAATTAAGATTCATCTAAATCAATCTTAGTTTGAACTTCGAATAAATATTTTGAATTAATTAAATTAATGAAGTTTGAATTTCTTTTATGAAATCCATAATGTTAATAAGTACACTAATTTACATTAATTATAATTATTTAACGTTGATATTCGTATCATACAAAATAAATATAAACCATGCTTATCGCGCCGTCCATTTGTGATGGGACATAAACAGGATTTTAACAATAAAAGTTTTTGTCGCACAATCATACAAAACTAATATACAGAGTGACAAAGTTACTATTTTGTCATGTAAAAATGTGAAAATTCTGTCCATTTCAAAAAGATCTATTTCACTTTGATCACCTGTATTTGATCATTTTGGTGTTTTGATCAACTATAGATAAAAAGTCCACTTTGATCACCTAGGTGATCTTATCCATGGGTGATCAAAGGACACCAAAGTGTCGCCTGGAGTCGGCTTTGATCATCTGGGTGATCAAATCCAGGTGATTGAAGTGGACTTCTGTCCTGATAAGGTGGAATAGACCTTTAAAAAGGACCTCTAAAACAGAAACATATTGTATATCACCGAAATCGTATTCTAAAAAATAATCGTTTCCCCATAAAGCTGATCAGTTAATAATATTTAAAGAATTTAAAGAGTACCTATGGCAAGGTCTAAAATTAATGTTTAGATTGTAATTGTTCATTATTATCTTCTAGCTTTACGCCCTCGGCTTCGCCCGCGTGGAATTTTGTTTGTCACAGAAAAACCTTATCGCGCGCTTCCCTGTTTAAAAAACCGGGATAAAAACTACCCTGTGTCCTTTCCCGGTACTCAAACTATCACTATGCCAAAATTTCATCAAAATCGCTTCAGTGGTTTAGGCGTGAAAGCGTGACAGACAGACAGACGGACAGACGTACAGACAGAGTTACTTTCGCATTTATAATGTTAGTATAGGTTCTTGCCAGCAAAACATAATCATTGGTAACACAATGGTATACAAAGGTAAAATTAATTCATTAATATTTTTAGTACAAGTTAGTTTATAGTGCCTAAGTACAAGTCTACACGAAAGATGAGACATGATGACAATATTATGACGCAGGTATACTCGTACTTGTAAAGGTGTATGGAATTTTTGGGCACAGCGAATCATGTAAGGATGTATGTTTGTTACTCCACGTTACTTTTTCACGCAAAACTACTGAACGGATTTTGATAAAACTTTACTGGATTATTGTTTATACATCAGAATAACATAATGGCTATAACTTAAAATGATATTTGACAAATTTAATTCACGCGGGCAAAGCCGTTGGCAAAAGCCAGTACATAATATTTTTGACCAAGACAACTTTTTTTGATTTGATAATTTAAAACAAAATTTACAGCACTTAGTTGTTGACTGTTTTTACGCAACTATGTTCTATAACTAGGTTTTATTTTAGTAGACCTATGGTATAGAAGTAATGACTATAAGACATAATACTTATAATATTTTATCAAACAATTTTAGCCTCAATGTCGGCGCTCCCAAGGCGCAGAGTAGAGTGTCAAGGAAGTCGTATCCTGGACTAGTGTTCACATGTCCGTTGAGAGATCTGGACAGGGATAATGTCACCTGCAGGCCACTAGGTAAGAATGAGCTCAAGAGGATTTTTAACTCATTTCCTTACACCCGTATTCACAAACATTACTATGAGGTCTCACAGTGCGCGTGGACGTACAGGGTCCCAAAAACCTATTCATAGACAATACTTGAGTGGCGGAAACACACACGAACCAATCATAGAGCTCCATTCAACGCTGTGTGTTCGACTTCGCATAGCGTTGCTGCTTCTCTTAAGCAAGCATCGTTTGTGAATACAGGTGTTAGACAACGTAGACTTGCTATGAATAATTATAAAATAAAATAAATAACAATTAGGTTACTTGCTTTTAATGTTTCACTCCGCAAGTAAATGGACAAGGATTTGAGTAAATTAACCATGTTTCAGCGAAAAGTCGGAGAATTTCCTTGGCCGATGACTTCTATAAGGATGACATGTGGTATGGGGCAACTATGGCAGCGATTCCTAATGGAAGACTATTGGTGAGTTTTTATATTTGAAGTCGATTCCCATGTAAGTATTTTGACATTATTAAGACGAACGCCTGAGTGGTTCGTATACTGAACAACTATGCCATAGAGGTTATGCGTTCTCCTTGCTGCCGGACTTGTGGACTCCTTTCTCCTCTTGCATCTCCGTCAGCAGGGGTACGCCGTGACAACAGAGGGCCCCCGCTGAAAATCAGTTTCAAGACAAGTCCTGGCGGTCTTGATGTACGCCGAGCGGGTGCCTTTTTGTTAGAGGGGCACAAGCATTTAATTGTCCACTTGTTATTTCTCTCTGTTTGAATCTATGTCTTGCTTGCTTGTATACCTTTCTTGCAAATAAAAAGTTATTCTATTCTATTCTATTCATGGGTCCTATCCTCGTAGAATGAAAACAATTTTGTTTGCACCAACATAACTGTTTATATTAGTCTCTGGGTGTTTCAATCAAATTGATCAAATTTTATGTCATTTAATTTATTTATTTAATTAAAATGCAAGTGAGCTTATACAGGGTGTTAGGTAAATGGGTATATGAGCCGACACTAGCCCATGTTAACATGGGCATATAAATGGTATGGTGAAGTCAGAAATTTGATATCATCATTAACATTTTTTTTATTGTCATACAAAATAAATTTTATAAAATCCGCTTTGTATGAAAATTTTAATAATTAAAATGCAGATATTTCTGANTATCATCATTAACATTTTTTTTATTGTCATACAAAATAAATTTTATAAAATCCGCTTTGTATGAAAATTTTAATAATTAAAATGCAGATATTTCTGACTTCACCATACCATTTATATGCCCATGTTAACATGGGCTAGTGTCGGCTCATATACCCATTTACCTAACACCCTGTATACATAATGTATTTCCAATTCAAAAAGTACTTTTCGGGATGGGGATGTTTATTTGTCTAGAACTACAGGATTTGCTTAGTTTCCCAAAGTAGATGGCGCACTGTAAAATGTCAACTTAGGTATTATATTTAATTTTAGTAGTTGTAATTTATTTCTTACAATTATTTTTGGTTTAATAGTGTCTTAATCCCTTTGAGTTTTGTCCAAACACTATTGTAGTCTAGATACTACTTAGTTGTCATAAACAAAAAATCCCACAGGTGTGTTCCCCGAGAATCACTAAGCCATACCAGTCGAAGCACTTGCTGGCCAACGGCGCTTGTTCTGTGCACGGTCATGACCATGAAGTAAGACTGCTGCCCCTCGAAGATCCAGGTACCTTCACATTTATTGAGAACTATGGACTTGTTTCCACGGAGACATCCTGTTCTTTGCGGGATTTCTTTTAATAGTCCTACGTGTAATATTAACGTTCATATCCGTTTTGTAGTGTCCCACAAAAACCGATCCGTTCGAATTTCAGACAACTTATGAGATTTAACGCTCGTATTCACAAACTTTAGGTACTATGAGGTCTCACAGTGCGCGTGGACGCACAGGGTGACACACGAACCAATCACAGAGCTCTATTCTACGCTGTGCGTTCGATTTGCTGCTTCACTTAAGCAAGCATAGTTTGTAAATACGGGCGTAATTGAGAGGGGGGCTTACATGACAGTCCAGGTTTGCAGGATGTTGTATTACTGGACCCCGCAAAACTGGACTGTCATTAGGTCTCATATTAAAACACACTCAAAATTCGGCTCACAGATTTTTGTGAATTTTGTGACAAACCCTAATAAGTTTGTTCCGGCGTTTCTTCTCAGCACTTGCCTTAAGTTTGTCTCGAAGCGCTGGTAGGGCCCAAAAGATAAGGAGACATGTAAAGTGCCCCATAAGGGCTACCTTTTTTTTATTTACTATATTTTGACGTTCATAAGTGCCACTTGTGGTCTAAACTGAATAAATATTTTTTGATTTTGATTTTGATTGAATCATAAGCCCTAATATCCTTCACATTGAATCTTCGAACTTCCTTCTGTATTACTGACTCATACCACTGTTCTCAGCCAGCCAAGCTCGCCGAACCGATGGGACCAGGAAAGAGTACGGTGAATATGGTTCCCATCTCAACTACTACGCGTACGGACAAGCCGGCATGGCCGTGACCTACACCAAGGAGAACAAGATTGTCATCGGGGCACCCGGAGTCTTGCAGTGGACTGGTAATCTTCTAAATATATGTATATAACTCAAAGGTGACTGACAGACTGACTGACTGACTGATATAGTGATCTATCAACGCACAGCCGAAACCACTGGACGGATCGGGCTGAAATTTGGCATTCAGGTAGATGTTATGATGTAGGCATCCGCTAAGAAAGGATTTTACGAAACTCCACCCTAAGGGGGTAAGACGGGATCCACGCGTACGAAGTCGCGGGCGGCCGCTAGTTATTAACTATAGAAGCTACAGAAATGTTGAATAATTGACTATAGTAGAAGCTCCAGAATTTTTCTACCGCTATACTATGACGGTGCCAGTTAAGTTTTGTATAATAGCATCTTGCAAATAACTTCGAACGCTTCCTATGTTCTTTTGATATTTTTTGTTGCGGGTCCAATGACAGATTAAGTTTCCTCCGGGACAAGCTTAACCTTCACGGGTTGGGTTTTTATTTGCGACTAGCTTTCCGCCTGCGGCTTCGCGCGCGTGGACTACATTATCTACATATTTTACGGAACCATATTTTTTTCTAAAATAAAATGTAGCCTAATGTTACTCGTGGATAATGTAGCTTTCGAATGGTGAAAGAATTTTTAAAAACGGTCCAGTAGTTTTTGAGCCTATTCATTACAACCAAACAAACAAACAAAGTTTTCCTCTTTATAATATTAGTGTAGATCAAGCTGTAGATCCTGGCTACACAGAAGTTGCAGCGATGAGAACGACAGCCTTGGTGGATTTTTTTTATTCTTCCAAATAATTTATAGCAAAGAAGAAAACCTTCGCGATAAAATTCACGAATTAAAAATACATAAATAAATAATTAAATAAAAACATAACTGGTAGATGTTGCATTTAAGCTACCTACAGTCCTACATCCCTCTTGTCGTAAATGGAGATTCATTCTTTCTTTGTGATGTCGATACCTTGCTATTTTGTCTTAAAATAACAGGAAAGAAAATTTAATTATAAAATGTCCTGTATATTGCTATACCTTCCGAGGTGCATGTGACAATTTAGTACCTACTTGCATGTTTTATGATGACGTTAAATTAATTAATACTAGTCGAATATTCCATAAGTTGGTGAATCTTGTTATGGAACTGTAAGTTATGGAAGAACTGAGCTTTATGATATTATAAGATAGGATAGCTGACTAGACAGCATAATTTTATAATACCCCTTACATTGTTTGTTTGTTTAGTTACTTAATTTTATTATAAGTATTAAAATCAAGTTTTATTCAGATACTACTGCAACAGAATTAGATTATTATAATTATTGCCGACTTATTTATATTGTATCATCATGATGACAATGAGTAACCAACTTTAAAATATTTAAATATCTCAATCATTATTGATGACTAATAATGTTATAAACGGATGTTAATAATTTATTACGCACGCACAATTGAACATAAATAATTTCCGCACTATCGACTTTACAATTAACTAGCGGCTGCCCGCGACTTTGTTCGCGTGGACCCCGTTTTACCCCCTTAGGGTTTGAATTTTGCAAAATCCCATCTTAGTAAGTAAGTACCTCCTACGTTCTAAAAGGAATCTCCGTGCAAAATTGAGAGTCTTAGAAACTAGGTAGATACATGTTCTGAGATTTCGTGATGATTGAGTGAGTCATTGATCTTTCGCTTTTATAGATATAAGGCGATGATTATTCTTGGTAATAAATTATTAAACACCAATCATATTTTTTCTATTTTAGGTACACTGGTAGACTACCAGCACAACCCGGCCTCGTTTACATTTGATTTGCTACCGTCGACCAATCCATACTATACAAAGGATTTGGGCCCGGACGACTACTTTGGTGAGTACCCTTCAGATTAACTATGTGTAGTTTAGCCTCCGAGCTAGCAGAGTAAATACAAATGAGTAGGTCATCTTCATAGAAGCGCACCGAGCGCGGTTTGTATGTGAGCGCGCAAATATACGTATGCGGCGCTCACGCACACACTAACAAAATTCGGCGCAACCACGATTGGCTCCCCGCTAATCCCCGCTAAATTTTGTCAGTGTGTGCGTGCGCGCCGCATACGTATATNAAATTCGGCGCAACCACGATTGGCTCCCCGCTAATCCCCGCTAAATTTTGTCAGTGTGTGCGTGCGCGCCGCATACGTATATTTGCGCGCTCACAGACAAACCACGCTCGGTGCGCTTCTATGAAGATGACCTACTCGTTTGTATTTACTCTGGTGCTAGTGTTGTTAGTACAAAAAGTTATCGATAAAATCGTTTCCGTCACTATAAATGACTGTGCGGAGTAACTTCCCCTTTTCCAAGTTTCAATGATTAATATTTACCAGTAATTATTATGAGTGGTGCTAACCACAATATAATAAATTATTGTTTATTACTGTAAATACTTGTATGTAGGTAGGTACGTCTGGAATTTATATGAAATTCATTTTGCATTAGGTACTTAATCGTACTTATTTGTAACAACTCATATTATAAGGTGAAAATCATAATAACAGTAGATAAATGTAATGTTTTACTATCCCCCGTTTGGTTAATCTTCGTTTTCCAAAAAAATAATACCGTTTCCTATTCGTATTTAGAGACTATCTCTTATTTATACCAATAAATATTATAAAGTATTCAATTATTGTTTCCTGCAAATACACGAAGGCGAGTGAGCTTTAATTGTGTGTGTACGTGTAAATGCGCATAACAATAGTATAATGTCTATCAAAACTTTTGAAAAATGAACAGTAACGAGCCACCACACATGTAAAGCTCACTCGCCTTCGTGAATTGCAACTACTACTTATATACAAAGAAATATACATAGACACAGAACATTTAGGACTCGATTGGTTTTCACTAAAGTTTATTATGTACTATGGGTCACAGTTCTAGCTACCATTTCCGGTCATGTCCTCCCGTTCTATCGCAAAGAATCACCATTTGATGAAAGCGAGAGAACAAACGGAAATGGGTAACTGAAACTGTGGTCCACTGTACGTCTATATTTAGAATTACGTATACGTTTTTTTTTTAATATAAAAAAAGGATGGCTTGCAATTTTTCCCCGAAAAAAGAGGTTGAAAATTGAAATGTCAAAGTTTAACGAACTTCTATAATTTAAAGAAATATAAAATAATAAAAGAAGATGACTTGAAATAGGTTAAAAATGTCAATTTTTAACCAAATTCTATAATAGAAGTAACAAACAAAACAATCGAGGTCATTATTCTATATTTACTTAAAGATATGCGAGTAGATGAAAATGTGGTTTACTAAGTTTGGTTCTATTGTTTTGTACATTATTTAGTGTAAGTATATTCTGTTTACAGTAGATGACATTCAGAATTTTTTCCTTTACTTTGTTTAACGTAAACTGAGATTAAAAATAATTTCGTAGTAAACAGAATTTTAAACATTCGCTTTGAAATTCAGTTGAATGTGCATAATACATAGTTTTGGTTGCTATGACTCTACTTAGATTGTATTTCAATAATAGCAAACTCACGGTTACTCGTTTACAGGCTACAGCGTAGGATCAGGCGTTTTTCAAAAGAATGGTTCGACTTTGTATGTCGCCGGAGCACCACGATCCAAGCGAGGGTATGGGCAGGTTTGTTTTAAATTTTATTACATATTATAAAATAATTTATGAAATTTATTCCAGAATTTATAAATACGTCGCCAAGAAGAAAAATCTTCTTACCTAATTAACCCGCGGTTCTTTTGATGATTCTAGTTCTAATAAAACAATGATTTACCCTCAGGTCCTTGTAGTAGAACAAGCAGTAAGAGAAGACGAACCGCTGAAGATCAAAGCCCAGCTCATAGGTCCACAGCTGGGCTCATACTTCGGGGCTAGCCTGTGCACTTTAGACCTGGATAATGATGGGCTGACAGATCTGCTGGTTGGAGCTCCTAACTACGCCTTGAGATCTGACGGAGAACTGACATACGATCAGGGAGCAGTATATGTTTATATCACAAAGCAGACGGTTAGTTTTTTATTTTGAATACAAAATTATTTGTAAATAAACTTTAACTTTTGTGCATATTCTGATGACCTTACTGTTAAATTGTAGTAGATTAAAATAATATTGGGGAGTGAAAAGGATCCTACTAGTGTATAACCCGTATTCTCAAACATTACTATGAGGTCTCACAGTAGTCACAGTGTGCGTGGACGCACAGTACGACTTAAGAGTTTGTCTTAAGTAAATATAGCCTCGAGGTATTATAAAAAGACTTTCCGGGTGAAGCTCGCTTCCACCTTAGGCCTGATCATCACTTACCATCAGGTGAGATACAGGCCAAGAGCTTTCTTGTTGTGGATAAATAAAACATCTTTATATTTCAGAACAAAGGGTTCGTTTTAGAAGAATCGGGAGTTTTAAGAGGATCTGGAAATATAGGAGCTAGATTTGGAACCTCTATCGCTGATCTAGGAGATATCAACGGCGATGGATTCACTGGTAACTTTAAAAACTACTTGATTCAAAAAACTTGTCTGTGCAGTATGACTAGGTGTAAATGTAGACCTTAAGAGAATGTTTAAACGCTTTTCTTTTATCGATAAGCGTCAAATAGGTCAGACATTTGAATGTTTTTAAAAAATTAAAATTAAATTCTGTTCTTTTTCTCTAGATGTAGCCATCGGAGCTCCATGGGAGAACAATGGTGCTGGTGTTGTTTATATATACAGAGGTAGTGACAAAGGCTTGATTCCTCAATATATCCAAAGGATCCATGCTGAAGGTGCCAAAAGTTTTGGCATGTCTATCTCTAAGGGTTACGATGTAGACAAAAATAAATGCAATGGTAAATATACAACAGACTGATGATGAAGTGATTGAAGACGATAAAACGTCAAATAGCAATCCTAATAAATGTTCTACCATTTTAGATTTAGCAATTGGAGCACACAAAAGTAGCACTACCTACCTATATCGGAGTGTTCCTACAATACAAGTGCTGTCTTCAATAAAAGTACCAGACGCGAAAAACATAAGGAAAGACGCTAGCAATTTTACGGCGCTTTTCTGCGTTACTGTCCCACCGAATAAATCTTTGCCAAATGCTAAAATAGGTAAGTAGCCATAAAGTATTTTGATGTGGTAGATAAACATCCAGACAAAAACAAATCAAAGAGAATTGAAAAATGTAACAATTATGATAGATAATCATTATAATAATTTGTTTTCAGAACTCAATGCCAGGGTGACTGTAGATCCAGAGAGAAACAGGGCAAGGACCATGGGTGAACCAGAATACATTGTTACAGCTGAATCAGGAGTAGATACTTGCGATGAGCATATTATCAAAGTGAATGTAAGTTTTCAGATTATTACTGTTTTTCATATCACTATTTGAGAAAAAAACTTAGCTGTTTGAATCAACACAGAATAGAGCAATGCTTTCTGTCATTTCAGGATGAGGCAGATTTATCCAAACCAATATCACTGTCTTTTGATCTGACACCAGTTATCCATCTAGGTAAGTTTTCACTTGATTTGTTAGTTCCCCCTATATTCGAACTCCTTCTGTGTTGTTCTGATTAATTTCGTTGAGGATCCAATAACAGTTTAACTTTCCTCCGGGACCAACTTGACCTTCCCTGGTTGGGTTTTTACTGGCGGTCAAGCTGTAGATTCTGGCTACACAGGAGTTGCAGCAGTGGGAATGAGAGCTGGGAATAGCCCCGTTGATTTGTTAGTCTAAAATGCTTATGTAACAGCATTGAGCGAATTGTTGTGGTCTACAATCTATCCTACATAAATATTTCATTACAGATTCCTTACCAATTTTTCCGGTGGGCAGCGCTCGCCTGTCAGAGGAGTCTATCCTTCAGTCTTCATTTCTGATTCAAATGCTCAGTGACTGCGGGGAAGACCTCATCTGCACACCCTGGTTGGTGATGAAAATGGAACCTTTGAAGAAGTTGGTAAAAGTTTTATAACTTAGGTACCTTTTCATTTATAATTGGCTTGTGTTGAAGTAGTAGGTCTTCCTACATTATGTATCATACTAATATTATAAATGCGAAAGTTTGGATGTCTAGATGTTTGGATATCTGGATGGATGTTTGTTACTCTTTCACGCAAAAACTACTGAACGGATTTTGATGAAACTTTACAGTAGATATTATTGTTTATAACCCAGAATAACATACCTATAGGCTATAATTTATGACGATATGTGACAAACTAAATTTCACGCGGGTGAAGCCGCGGGCAAAAGCTAGTGTACAATTAAATGCTGTTGAAATATTGTTTATCAAATTAATGAAATAAAATAAGGAGTAGAATAGGATCACTAAACATCAGACGAAACTAATTTGCATNGTGGACCTATTCACGTGCCAGAAACAGTCTAGTTGACATGTCTTCTCTAGTACGTAGTACATTATAACTCAATGATTTGCATAGACAATAATTATGAATGCTCGCACCTACTCAACGCATGACAATTTCATCTCTGCGGTATTTAAATCAGCAAAGACTAGAGTTGAGCTCTAAACAGAACGATAAATAACGATTTATTCCATAACTTTTCCAGAAACTATATTCCAGGAGACGGCAATGAACCCGGGGTAAAGATCTTCGTGACCAACTTGGAGGAGCCTGCGTACAGTGTCAAACTCCACGTGGTCCTCCCAAGTCTTCCAAAAAGACTTCCAGAATCGTGCTCCCTCCAAAAATTGGAGCTCAAATGCGACCTGCCAGCTCCTTTGAACAGGAACAAAACGGTATGCATTTTTAATAAACAATTTTATAGTACATACATCGTCTTCGGTTCCTGTTCTGTGTTATTATCATTTTATTAATATTTACTGTTTTAGAATCTATGCAGATCAGATTCTAAAACATCATAAGCTTTCATTAATTAAAAAGCTTATGAAACCCTATTTAACTTACAAAGGACTTGGATAGTATTCCAAGTTTTTGTAAAATTACTAGGTGCTGGATTTGCTGGAACATTGTGGTGAACTCACTCCCTACACAAATACAATTATTAAGTTTACTTTTAACCGATTTCAAAAAAGGAGGAGGATCGATTTTCGGCTGTATTTAAGGTTTAAAAAATCTTTATTGTGTTATAACGGAAATATTCGTAACTCGTCTATTACAAATTACTTGAACCTTTAAAAATACAAATATTGTTATTTTACATAAGGCGGAGTGGGAGATAGTTCTGGAGTACACCTGGGACGGTTCCGCTACTCAGCTGATGTTAGCAGCCGACCTGGTAGACCCACTGTACATGAGAAACGTCAGCACAGGGTCTAAGGAGCTGATCATACCGATAACACCTGAGAGCTATTACAATTTCAGCGGGTGAGTTTGAATGTTGGAAAGATATTTTTTTTTTTTAGAATGCGGAAAGAAATAAATGGGTCTATTCCACTTTCATCACCTGGCTTTGATCACCCAGGTGATCAAAGTGGACTTCCAGCGACAATTTGGTGTCCTTTGATCACCCACGGATAAGATGACCTGGGCGATCAAAGTGGCCTCCAGTTTAATTATTATTTTAGTTTCCTTTGATCACCTATAAAATAAATTACACCTCTGAATAGTCACATACTTACATGTCCAATTTGTTTGTTACGGCGGTAGTACAACAGTTGGACATGACTGTGACTATTCAGAGGAGGTGTGATTTGTTTGTAGGTGATCAAAGGACACTAAATTGTCGCTGAAAGTCCACTTTGATCACTTGGGTGATCACAGCCAGGTGATCAAAGTGGAATAGACCTAATTTTTGTATTCTCAGTAGTCCCAGTGGAGTAGTCACATGATGGGACTACTTGGATTTTGTTCCCAGAGGTTCAGGAACAATATTATTATGGTCTAAATCTCTACCCAGCTTTGTTAGTTTTTTGAAAATCTTAAAAAAGGGCTTATAAAATCTTACAGACTGTGAAATGAAACACAATTATTTGATGTTTGATACAAGTACATTACCAACATAAAAATTGGAAGCATTTAAATGCTAATATTAATATTATTTATTACATTACATACTTTTGTCATTAGTTATTGGGTTTTCCCTACAGTTATATAAAGATGTACTTAACTACATGACTTTAGCGGTTTTGAATGCTATTGTTAGAAATTTAATAATAAATACCATAATAATTTCCATGTTTATGAGTTTTACTTAGCAACATTCATGAAATGCAATAAATACATTTTGACTTTGACTTTGACTTTGACTTGTTGTCGGCAGGAAAAGGAATTTGTTTACTGTATCTTAAAAACTCATTTGTGTCAAAGAAAATTCGTTAAAACACTGTTTTGGTTAGTTGCTTGAAACGATACTATTTACTAGGTACCTACTTATTCTCTCTTTATTTCAGAAAATCCCAACCCCAGGCCAACGTGTCTGTCACAAGAGAAACATTTGATAAGAAAGGAGATGTTTTGTTTACACACTTTTACGAGGTTTGTACTTTTATAACATTAGTTCACAAGCTCTGTCACCAATATATCAGTTGGACATCAATATATCAACCAGAACTAATTTTTCCAATCGAATTTATGTCTAGTATTTAAAGTTTAAGGTACACTTTTGTCTGATGCAAACAATTTATTTACAGATCGCCAACTACGGCCCATCAGACCTGTATAACTTGAAAGTGGATTTTTTACTATCGGATGGTGTAAGATTTTTTATGATAATAATAATCAAAATAAACCGGTTTAAAAACTGCTTAAACTCTGAATTTATTTATTTCGTTTTATCTAAAACATTAGTGTTTTTCTCATAAACCTAACTTTCAACAGGTATGCCCAGCAAGCTCCATAGAAGGGTCGAGCTTTCATGAAAATAAGCTCTCGTTCGTTGCCGTAAAGCTCGAAGCTAATTCAACCACGGGTTACATTTTACCCCTGCGATTTAACCATTCACAGAGCGGTAAGTTAGAATTTAAGATCAAAATATCTTCTTCTAAACTCAAATCATTGAGATTATGTTAAGTACTAGAATCGCACAAGGTGATTAGTAGGTGTCTAAAATTAACTATTTTTGGTTTTAGGTGACAAGCTGAATGACGAAGAGACATTGAATGTGACGTCTAAGATGTTCATTTATGTTCAAAATGGAAAAACAAAAGAAAACTGGTGAGTTATGTTTACCTTTACCTATGTTTTAATAATAACACTGACCAAATTATATGCCTACTTTTCATTAAACGTATTACGGACCTCAGGAAATTCTAGAAATATAATCGTACCACCTAAACGCCAATAATATTTTGCAAAATTCATGGTTTACCAATGTTTTAATACAAATACAATGATTATGTTGGTTTTATTTTAGAAAAGAAATACGAAACATTACGCAGGGGATATTAGAATCAAAATATTGTTTGAATAGATTTTTTTACAGCATTTATTTATTTATCATTTTGTTTTGTTTCACATGTTTTGCATTAATTATAAGTATAATTTTATTTCAGGACAATGGAAGTGACCACTACATTATTACTGGAACCCAAGACTCCAATTTGGCCTCTGATTGTGGGCCTGGTGGCTGGTCTCTTAGTTCTAGCTGCCATCATAGCTGCTTTGTATAAGGTAACCAACTTTATTTTCTTACCTTCATGTTATTGCCTTAATTATTTTTTTCGTGAAGCGGAAATGGAGTCCTGAAAAGTAGGCAGGGCATACTCTTCACCTAATAAGATTCTACTTCATAGTTGCGACGCTACTAAACTTGCAAACAGATTAAAGAATAATAACAATTAGTAAATACAAATTACTAATGATCCCGTTAACCCCTCATTACGAGTGGGCTCACCACGATAGTCGAACGGTGGCAGGGATCGGACTCGCGTTCCTCGGATCACTAGTCGGCTAGTTTGAACCCTTCACTGTTTTGCTATCGTGGATTCAAATAATACATACGAATTTATTTCAAATCTCACAGTCATTTCTGCTAATCTTTAAACATTGAAATATTTCTTCTTCCAGTTCGGGTTCTTCTCTCGCCAAAAGAAGGAAGACTTGAAACAGCTGATTGAAAACCAAGCATCACAAGAAGACCCGGGGAACTCGTCCAACCCTTCAACAGTCGATACCGACAGCACTACTAGAGAACTGTTAGACATTACAGAGTAGACTATCCAGAAGACCTGGGTATCTTAACTTCTATGCCCCTGTGGGTTCTTCTTCGCTCTATCAAAAATTTCGCGACCAATTTATCACAAATGCGATTATTATATACTATCTTGAGCTGAAATGAAGATTAAAAAAAAATATCAAAAAGTTTCGTGAATGTGGTAATTTATTAAGTTAAATAAACTAGTCGATTAAGAGTCAATAGGACTTTCATCTTATGAAACCAAAAAATAAAAGAAATGTTTAAAAAACACTTGAAAAGGAAAAGAAAATGTTTTTATTATGTTGAATATTGTTTAATTACATTTCACACGTTTTATTTTAAGACTAGCGGCCACCCGCGACTTCCTACGCGTGGATCCCGTTTTACCCCCTTAGGGGTAGTTTCGTAAAATCCTTTCTTAGCGGATGCTTACGTCATAACATCTACCTGCATGCCAAATTTCAGCCCGATCCGTCCTGTGGTTTGGGCTGTGCGTTGATAGATCACTATGTCAGTCAGTCACCTTTAAAAGATTTATAGCAGTCGTACATACGTTGTAATTATACAATTAGCAACTGGTTGCTAAGATTCGTAATAACCACGGGTATGTGTAAAATGAGAACTTTTCAGGAGGAATAAAATACTGTTTTTCTCTTGAAACGTTTTATGAAAAACCACAAATATGTCATGAAGGAGAAAAGTACAACTCTAGTTTTTACCATTTTTGTGCATGTTAGGTTTGGTGTGCCTGACGTTGTACCTGAAAAATATAAAAAATCACATGTAATGTTTGTCAGGCCCACTGACGGTACAGCGTAGGGTTACAATTATAATTCTGTGATCTCAAGATATACTTAGGCTGGGTTGCACCATCTTACTTGAACTTTGATAAACGTCAAAAATCTGTCAAACTCCATACAAAAAACACCGGTTATCGTTATGTTACTATAACGATAACCGGTGTTTTTTGTATTGAGTTTTGGTCAAAGTTAAAAAAAAAAAAAAAAAAAAAAAAGGTGGTGCAACTCAGCCTTAATAATATCGTCGGCAGAACTTCAGGTTAGAAGTTTGTAGCAGAATAGCCCTTAATAAANGGTGCAACTCAGCCTTAATAATATCGTCGGCAGAACTTCAGGTTAGAAGTTTGTAGCAGAATAGCCCTTAATAAAACTACATTAGGCAGTATTCCACCTGAGATTATGCCGTCGTTATTAATTTTATTTGTATTACGATATTTTTAAAAGTGAGAGCCAAACACACGATGCGTTGCGGCGGCGGTGCGTTGTCGCTGCGTCATTTTACATAACCCGATCGTGCTATGCCCACTTCGCTGAAATGTGACTCTCCCGCGCACCACCACAGTAAGCCCCGTCCGTACCAGAGCGGCGATATGACGTCACGGCTACTAGGTACGCATTTAACTCTATCAAGTTGTACTTTTAGAAATATCTGTGGCAGGCACACGACGACGCCGCACCGCCCTCGTGCTTTTGCTCTGGCGAATTAGCTTATTCATATCTTCTGTCTTTTCTTCATTACCTATCTTTTATCTTCTTATATGTTAAGCATCTTTATGTAAATACTCACCTTATAAAAATAAGTTTAATTTCTTTAATAAATAAATGTTATTTATATTACGCGTGTGTTTCATTGTTATTTGCTTTAATGTCGCCAAAAATCTGGGAATGACAAAAAAATATTACGATCATTGAAAATAACATTAATTTGTCTGTGGTATTTGTGTGAGAATAAATTTTGAATAATGAATAAATCTAAAATAATTAATTTTAGACATTGTTTTGTGTAACGTTATTACCATGAGTTTTTTTTTAAATTTTATTCCACCAAAAATGCCAAGGCGAAAATATACAGTGAAAAAATTATAAGATCTCATGTAGAGACAATCTCGCGTGGCAGGTCACCAATGCGCTGGACCGACCAAGTGAAAGCAGCAGTGGGAGACGACTTAACTGCACCAGACAGTCTGCCAATAGAGAGAGATGGAGGGAGATTGTGCGGAGAGTTGTATCCGCATCTACAGCCGATGTGAACAACGCCTCAACGTGACCACGACCGCTCTGCCAAGAGCGTAACGAATAAGAAGAAGAGACAATCTTCATCTATTATAATATAACTCCTCGCTAAAATCAAGTGACAGTGGGTGGGGCACATACCTCACAGAGCTGATAGCCGCTGGGGCAGAAAGTTCTCGAGTCCGGAAGACTTAGTGTGAGCAGACCCCCCACTAAGTGGACCGACGATCTGGTGACGGTAGCGGGAATGCGGGCAGAGTGCAGGACCGGTCGCTATGGAAATCCTTGGGGGAGGCCTTTGTCCAGCAGTGGACGTCATTTGGCTGAAACGAACGAACGAATTTAAGTAAGTTGTGGTAAAAAAATATGTGACAGCGATTTACGAGTAGCTGAAGTAGAGTGCTCAACTAGCTTTAATATAAATACTGCGATATCAAATTGCATGGCAAGCTCTTATCTTAGAGAAACGGTCGTGCCAAAACGGATGGGGATCACTCGTACCATAGTGTAACGATTTTCAGTAAGTTATCTTTGCTTGCAAATATCTGTCGACATTCCACCAGCTCGCACTAAGCGATTCGGTAACTCATTTATAATGCAAACAACTATGGACTGGAATTCCCTGGCTGCCGCTGTCTTTCCCGAACATTATAATCCGGGCCTTTTCAAGGCGAGAGTGAATAGGCACTTGCACGGCAGATAACTGCATCTCACTTAACAATCTGCCTTGTTAAGCAAAAGAAAAAAAAAGAATTTTCCCCGTCTTGCGTCTCACTACTTGCTGTAGTGAAGTGGCTGTCGTATTGTTTATACTTTTATATGACAAATTAATAAGCGCATAGGTAGGTTAAGAAACGAATTCCATAGACTGTCTCAGTCCGTTTGGAATTTAGGCACCTATAACGTAGAAATGGTTATTGCTACCTTTGTTAATCACATTTTACATAATAAGATATTAATTTGTTGTCAATGCAATAACTTTTACTTAGACATGACCGTTTAAAGGTTATTTCTTAGACATTAGCTATCTAAAAATACCTTAAAGAAGCCCAAACAGTAAGACAACCCAGGACCGAGCCGCCTGGAGACGCATGACGCGGAGGGCCGACCCCAAATAAAATGGGAATGGGCCAGGCAAAGTAGTATTAGCTTATCTAAAAAGATAATCACAGATCAATTTTGTATTGTTTAAATGTATCGGGAGTTCGGGACTAAGTGAGTGAACCTACTGCTCATAAATCTACTGTAATACAATACCGTGACCAATAACATGTACCTACATGTTTATGTTATTGCAGAAAGGTTCAAATTTGCTTGCACTTACCAAAGCGCTGATATTCACATCGTTTGCATTTCCTTTCTCCGGAGATTCCCCGCAGCGTGGATGGTTCATATACTTTGACTTATGTGAGGTAATATCTTAAAATGTTAAACATTCTTAAAAACTAGCTTTTGCCTGCAGTTTTGCAGCCATAGGTCAGCGCTTGAGGTACGGGACGGTGTTTATGAACGTCAAACGTCAGCGAGGCTTCAGATCTAATTCAGATTTATCATAATACTAGCTTTTGCCCGCGGCTTCACCCGCGTGAAATTTAGTTTGTCACAGATCGTCATAAATTATAGCCTATATGTTATTCTGGGTCATAAACAACAATACTGTACAGTTTCATCAAAATCCGTTCGGTAGTTTTTGCGTGAAAAAGTAAAAAACGTCCAGACATCCATACAAATTTTCGCATTTATAATATTAGTAGGATGTTAATGTTACCATTCCCGTTTCGCTACCATACCCCAGGTATTGATTGAGTTAAGCGCTTAGACCTATAATAACTGGGAATAAAACTACCCTATAGTTTGCCATGGGTCCTAAACTACATATCTTTGTACCAAATTTCATCTAAATCAGTTCAGTGGTTTAAGCGTGAAAAGACTGAAACTTTCGCATTTATAATATCAGTACAAATGATAGAAATATAAAAGCCTTTTGGACTGCAATATGGACTTATTGAGAAATAAAGTTCATTTCTATCGCAGACTGTTTAAGGGCTATCTCTAGTAACAAAATACGAAGAGACCATGAAAAACTTGGCTTTCTGTAGAATAATATAAAATCGATGAAATCAATTCTGTTTTTACCTAATCGGCGATCAACAGACTCATGAGTCATATTTGTCAGGTAAATTAAATACCTATCCTATTATGGCATCGTCTGTACAATTTAATATTGCATGCTCAATATGAGCAATCTGTTGTAACGAATTTTATGCCCAAACAACTGCAAACTGTACACAGAAAAAGCAATAAATAAATTCTATTCTATTCTATTTTATGTTATTTTACATAAAATTAAACACGTTTTAGTGACGTCTGGGTTGTTAGTTTTAGATTTTTGCCGCTTGACGTTTCAAAATCATTAGTTATACCAAATATTGAAATTCAAGCAATCGCAACATTGTAGCTTAATCAAGTCCTATGTTTTATTTACTGTATTAAGTAAGTACCAATACAACCAAGCGGAAAACTTGTGATTCTGAAGATTTTAATTTAATCCAATAGACATGTGAGATTCGTTTTCGATTCGATGCAAATGACTTTGTCAATAGAGATCCTGAAAGGGATATCTAGCAAATAGGAACATTATAAAATAGCAATAAACAGGACTAATCTCACTTAAAGAAGAATCTACATCTTGGCCTCCAATGAAACCCAACCGGAAGTAACCGATGAAGGGTAGGTAATAAACCATAAAGATATAGAGAGATGCCAACTAATACGCTGAGTTCGAAACTCAGTGTCGCATTAGAAATTCACATACACAAAGTAATCAAAATATATGCTCATTATCCACTGCGGTATCAGTACTCAACGTTCGAATAATCTTTAGTACTACGCAAGCAATGTAGACTGTTTACATTATGACGTCGCTGCTGTCATCATTGCTTTCACGAGCAATGTGTTCTGTTTTTGGGCATATTGCTGAGACACCGGCCCCGCCCCTTGTCACATCTCTCTTTAGTTTCTGTGATTTGTGTAATAAACACTATAGCAACAAAATAGAAGCTGATTTTCCATTAGCACAGCTGTCAGCCCTGACAAACCCGATGTTAAATTTCCGCTAGCTGCTAATCCGATGGAAGCACCGGTAATTAAAAGCCGTCTTCGATCGACAATTGTAGATTATTATCTATTTCTGAAATACTTACTTTAGTAAGTAGTTGTGAC